TAACAGAATTGTACCTAATGCCGCACCTCAATAAATCATTTTTTGCTTTTTGCATGAACGTAGAAAAAATGTTGTGTTACTCGTGCAAAAATTGTTTATTGCACTCGACGTGAAATTGTCCGACGAGGCCGTGAGGCAATTCACTTTTTGCACTTGTTGCATAAATAACTATTTTTTAAGAATGTATTATTCTTCTGAACAGTTGAGGATCAGCTGTTAGGTCATTTGAGTGATGTTCATTTATGTCTCACAACTCTTGTCATGAATTTATCTATGTAGCATAAACTTTCTGCTCAAGATACAACAAAACTGTGTAATCCATGTTCTTAGTCAAATATGTTTCGATGTTGTTCTTAGTCAAATCTGTTTTGATGTTATTCTTGTGATTCATTGTTAAATCAATGAGTTTTGCAGAAATGTATTGTTGTTTTCGATTTTCAATAATTTTTCATAATACTCACTTTAATACATAGCTTTATACCAGCAACAGTTACCACTTCATCATTTTCAAATCAAAATATTCCGAAAACGGAACACAGTATCGAGTTTTACCAATAGTACCTTTTTGGTGTAAAATTGAATGATGTTCAAGTTCATATCATATTTGGATTGAAGAATCTAACCTCAAAAAAGTTATGTTCAAAACTACTCGGTACGAACCGTGTAACTAGCGCCCTCTATGAGAGTCAGATATAAAAACAAATGCATGTGTGTCAAATTCCAAGGAACATCCATACAAAATTTCATCACAATGTTGGCAGTAGTTTCAACATAATCGTGAAAAATGTGTTATAAGCCCATTATCAGCCGATAAAATAGTTCAAAGTTCAGGAAAAAACCGGTATTGACTGGTCATTGCATTTATATCCCAAGTCAATACCGGTTTTTTCTAGAACTTTGAACTATTTTATCGGCTGATGATGGGCTTATAAATATAAGCCCGAAACATGTACCATTGATGATCTTTGATCATTTCAATAAAAGTTGTGGAGATGACTTTGGGTTTTTCATCTATGTTATTTTGCAATGTTCTACCTACCCCAGCAAGGGGGTTAGTTTTTTTTAAACACCCTGTATATCTGAAATCAAATAGTTCACCTTCATCATTATGAATGTAGAAAGGGTCCCAGACAGATGTTGCATCAAGTATTGTATACATTGGAAGTGTTGCAACATCTCCAATAATCCATCTGGAAAAATAATGCAGGTAAGTATTACATCCAGCCAACACCATGAATTGAATGAATAATGAAGGTGTAATCAGTGCTTTTGAGAAAAATCATGAGAACTTCATAAACACGGACCAAAAGCTAAAATCATCATTAAGATATGTTATTACAGCAATTAATGAAATGGTACAAACATTACAAAATTAAATCTGTATGGGTGTCTTGAATGAACTCAATTTCACCTTCTTTTCCGCTTGTCTTTGGATCGCATTTAGAACAATTTGCCCTTCTTCTTCCATCATTGGGACAATTTATACCGGGTGACACAGGAGACATGTAGCAGTCTGTAGTTTTTTCATTTGAAGGGATCAAATTTTGAAATTCACAGGGGGTATATAATAAATGGTAGCGCACTTTACGAACTAAATGACAATTTTTTTCAACCAGGCAAGGGCAAATTGTTCTAAATGCGATCGAAAGACAGGCGGAAAAGAAGGTGAAATTTTCAACTTTATAGTGAAATATCTTGATGAATAATGGTTTGTTCACATTTTCATTATCAAATTCGTGTTTTTCAGACAAAAATACGTAAGTACCAACAACATTTTCAAAAAAAACCATTGCATGCTAAATGCAGTTTTACCAATTACAGAAATGGATCCTATAAAACTGATTGTATGGATAAAAAAATAATAAATCTTGGGACAGGAAATTCCTAGTTATTCGAGGAAAATCAACTTTCAACAATAATTGTTTCCATCTTAAAATCAGGTTGAATCTCATGCATTTTACTGTTTTACTATAATAAAGTTGACCAGCCTATGTATACAATTAAACTTACCATGTATCTAGTCCAGTCTGCTGTGTCCAAATTACCAATTTAGTCACAACAATTGTATAGTACATGTGTGAATAGAATCAGATATCTAAAGTTTGCTGTGGTAGATATCTCCTCCCTGAAAGTGAAAAATAAAATCAACATTTCACCATTGACAAATCCTCTGATAAAAATTGTGTGAAAAGGAATCAGATGTCAACAGGTAATCACAGGTTTCATAACCCAATGCTCTGAAAAATCAGTTTCATCACTAGGCTCACAAAGATTTAAGAAAATTTGAATAGGTATATTTCATATAATATAAGACATTGAAGTACTTACCATTAGTTAGCTAGTTTGAGAGAACTAAAGGTCCTGGATTTGCTACCATATTCCTGAGAATTGAAAAAAAAAAACACATTACACTCCAATCTATTGAAGAGTAGAAAATCATCAAATTTTATAGTGGCAATCAGAAATTAAAACAAGTAACCACAGATAATACTCTGAATAATTTTCTCATCATTGTTATCTTTGCAAGTATATTTTGCTTTGCATGTGAATTTGTAAGTCAATCTATCAAGAAAACATGCATCTATATATCCAGATCTGTAATCCTAAAAAAATGATGATCACATAATATACTCAACTTTTTTCATTTTTATTTTACCATTATTCATGATCTATGAATATCAATGTTGCAACAATAGTAATATACTTTATAATGTCATCCTAGAGGTATTATTTCCAAAAAATAAAATAAAAACATGATCTTTACTAACAAAATAGAAATGCATTCAACAAATCAAATGTATGGCATGAATAGATCAGTTACTGCTGAATCTATAATATTGTCAGGTGCATATAGGACTAATATGATTTCTAGATAAAAAACAATATATTACTAGACAGTATTCTATTCACATACACTATACAATAACTTACCAATAACTCCTGCTTGCAACAAGTAATTTGAACCAATACAGAGCAGGGGGCTCTTCAATCTATGAGAACTGGTTACATTCTAGCATCATTGTATCAGTTTTAGCTATATATTATGTGTGGCAATTGAAGTAGAGGTTGGTAGACTGCCTCAAATGGAACTGGCTTCCTGAAACAATAAGAAAATTATAAATTCTTACTAGTTGATTCACAGTTTGGAAAATTATTGGAAAATGATTAGAATCTCAGATGTCAACATGTAATCACAGGTTTCATAACCCAATGCTCTGAAGTAATGTATTCATCATTGTAGGATTTTGAAATTATCCAGAAAATAAGTCAAAAGTAAAGGTAAAACTGCATTTAGCATGTAATGGTTTTTTTTTTCGAAAATTTTATTTGGTACTTACGTATTTTTGTCTGAAAAACACGAATTTGATAATGAAAATGTGAACAAACCATTATTCATCAAGATATTTTACTATAAAGTTGGATTGACTATTAATATTGGCCGTCATCTGGTATGCTTGTTCACTGAATATGAAAAACTCGCCATAAAAATCATATTTTCTGTTGAATTTTCTGTATAAAAATGTGTCATTGAAGTATATCATGAGCGATATCATGAGTATATAAAGTGTCCAATGACAAAATAGGAAGAGCAAGTACCTACCTGTAAATGCATCCAACACAAGGGGAAAAGGAGTCGAAATTTCGAACTTCTTTTTGAAATATCTCGATAAATAGTGGTTTGTTCACATTATCATTGTCAAATTCGTGTTTTACAGACAAAAATAAGTAAGTTACAAAAAAATTTTCGAAAAAATAACCCATCGCATGCTATATGCAGTTTTAGCAAAGTGAATCCCAATCAAGGATTCCTGTAAATACCTATAACATACGTAAAACTGATCAAATATAAAGGATTCCAAACTCTTGTTGAAGCCACAGTGAAAGAAAGATATATTGTGTTGAAACCAACACGTGGCGTAGCGTGGGCGTGGAAGCGATAACGATTGAACTTTTTTCTTAATGAACGTCTACCTCTATATGGATAGTTAAAATTTTCATTAAATATTATATTCAATTAGTATTCTTACCATATTCCAGAAAATGGATGACTGGGTAAGTATCTAAACTTACAAAGACTCAATACCGGATAATAGGCAGCCATTTTTTATTAATATACACAACCTTTCGGTAAGAGAGTCAGCAAAGAAAAGAAATAATCAGCGTTCGAAATTCTTCAACATTGCTCAACCAGCTCAACCCGACCACACTATTACCTATTACGCATGCGTACTAGATGCTTTGAATTCTGATCATGACGCAAATCAGGTTCATTTGAAATTTGAATTCTTCATAGCAAATTTTTGTTGGTCTTTTATATCTATGGCGTGTTGTGACTCGGTCGTATGTGGATTGTGCTTGGTAAAGTGTAAAGGTTATAAAGACAGTCACTTTTACTGTCGCTTGTCATTGTTTGGCATTTGGCGTTGCGCTTCACTTGTCATTTTAATAAAAACAAAATGGTTGCTTGTTGCTTGGTTATTTGAGAATAATATAAAATTTCACATCAGATCCATTAATCATCAGAGCAATAATTGTAATATTATTTTAACAATATTTGAGTGTCAAGATGTGCAGAAAGTATGAAAAACTGAAAGTGAAGTGAAATATATACAGTTTGTAACGATCGATACAAACGTTTGATTGATCAAACACCTCGCCTTTGCACCCTTCAGAAGGCGGACAAACGTGTTTTCCTAAATTGGAATGTTTGCTTAGGTACTGAAGTGATATAATATTTTGGAATTATCAATTTGTACATCCTATTTCATTGACATACATTTCATCACAGTGATATGATTTTGACCCCCTATTGTTATGTTTTTATAATAAAAATATCACCAAAACCGTTTATTATTTTGTTTTATCACTATTAGTATGTAGGTATGCTTTAGGTATGTTTCCTAGCGCTTCTTCACACTTTCAATAGTCCAATTATTGTCAGTTATTTTTCCGAAACTGGAGTAAACCTAAATAAACTTATTTATATTTTAGCTAGGACAATGGCCAATAGTGTTGTGAAAGTTACAGATATCAGAGATGATGAACTTGACAATGTTAATAACAGTTTACTCTTGTTGGTTGGTGAAGATGGTACTGTGACACCTGACCAAGAGACAGTTGAAACATTTCTGAGTAAGTATTGTTTTCATCTTCCAAATTTGATGAATAAAATCATTTATATTTGTAGAACACAGAAGTGGCCCCACCAATATACAGGTCATGAAGTTTCTCAAAACTGATAAGCAGGGTATTGATATCACTGTTGATAATTTGACATATGTTCCTGATGTAGCTAATGAAGGTAAATAAACTGCATGCCAATAAATCTGACTGACTCATTAATTTTATAATGAATGGAGGAATGCATGTTAATATTCATAGATTTTTCTTGACATGCCTGTCATGTTGTCATTCACAAATATAAGTACCTGCTGAAATAATTTATTAACCAATATGCATTTTGAGATGTATTTTTATTATTTTTAGAAGTGGTAGGGGATGAAAGTGCAGATATGGATGAGGTGGCTAGAAATTTATACAATTTTCGGCTGGACCATGACTACACACCCTTCACATCACCAGATAGCCAGAGCTTGTCCCAAGAAGAGGATGAATTGGCTAAGACATTGAGTATGCTTGATGGGCCAGAGGAAATCATCATACCCCCTGAGCCTATCACATTGAGTCCACTAATTGGGGCCAAAGTACCTCCTAGAATCAAACTTATTCAATCAATCACCTTAACTCCTCCAAACAGAAATAGCAAAGGGGGTATTGGTACAGTTTCTGCAAATGCACAAGAATCAAGCAAAAATCTCATTGAAGATGAATTAAAATCTGAACAAGATCAATCCATCAATGATGATATTGAAACTGCCAGTCTGAGGAATGAGTCTACTCCAGCGACCAGTGAGACTATTCCAACAGAATTGTCCAGTAAATCAATAGAAACAATTCCTGATGAGACTAAGTTGGTACTTACTAAGTCAAAAGCCAAAATAATCAGAACTGCACCTAAATCAAAATCTCAAAAGGAAAGAGCAAAAATCAAGACAAAGCCCAAAGTGAAGGGGATTGTTGGGGAAGAAAGTGATGAGGAAGACTATTCAGATGGGGATGACTTGGATTTTGAGTTGGAGGATGATGAAAATGACTTGGATTTCAGTTTGGAGGAGGAACTCAAAGGAAAGCAGCACTTGAAACGTCAAAGGTTGAAATCAGAATCAAGACCACCTTTCAGAGGTTCCATTAAAAGGAATAAGAGCAAAGAGAAAAAGGGTGAAAATAAGGAGGAACCCAAAAAAGAGGACAGTGTGAAAGTGGAGGCCAAACAGGAGCCTACTGAAGTTGATCTGAAGGAAGATAAGGTTGTTGAGAAAACAGATGAAAAACAGGAAAGGCAGCCTGAGACTTTGGAGGCAAAACAACAGGAGAAAAAGCCACTGCCAAAAAAAGATAAGAAAGTTCCAAAGCCTATCCCAGATGATTTTCTTCTTTTTTCCACTCCAGACATCATAAGACGTGTTGGGGGAAAAGAGCAGTCCACCCCAGAGTCTGTCACTCCCACTAAACCTGCCAAAATACTTTCACAAGGTTCATCTCAGAGGAAGTCCTTGGACCAGTCTCCTACAAAATCACATGGTAAAACTGACAAAGAGAGATTTATAGAAGAGAAAATGGATAGCAAAAGTAAGTATCTAATAATTGTCATTGATATTTTTAACAAAAAAAAACCGGAATTACTTATTTTATACCTTGTTGTGAAGAGAGTTTGGTGATTTTGCACTTATCATGCCATGGGTTTTTTTTTTTTTGACTTACATATTTTTGTCTGAAAATCACAAATTTGATAATGAAAATGTGAACAAACCACTATGTATCCAGATATTTCAAGAACAAGTTCAAAATTTTGCCTTCTTTTTCCCCTTGTGTTGGATGCATTTACAGGTACTTGCTCTTTTTATCTTGTCATTGGACACTTCATATACTCATGATGTACTTTAATCATATGACTTTAATGACACATTTTAAGCTAGAAAATTCAACAGGAAATATGATTTTTATGGCGAGTTTTTCCTATTTAGCAAGCATACCAGATGACGGCCATTTAATCCAAATTCGAGATGTCAAATGTCAATAGATTGCTTTGGAATGACATTACACACGCCATTATTTCAAATGATATTCTTCCTTCTTTTCACTAAACATGGATAAATCACAAGAAAATCATAATTCTAGTCCACTCATATTATAAAAAAAATGTGTCCAACATTGTGTGATATATATAAATTGTCCAATGATGGAAAAAGAAGGGCAAATTGTTCTGAATGTGATCCAAAGACAGGCGGAAAAGAAGGTGAAATTTGTAACTTTATAGTGAAAAATCTTAATAAATAATGGTTTGTTCACATTTTCATTATCAGATTCGTGTTTTTCAGACAAAAATACCTAAGTACCAAAAAAAAAATTCGGAAAAAACCCATCGCATGATAAGTGCAAAATTACCGAGAGTTTTTTTGGTAATAAAGAATAATATGAAATATAATGATTTTCATCAAATATCGAGAATTCAATGTTATACTAGATGTATACAGATACCAAAAATTATCTTGGTCAAAAGTGATCATGGAATGGAAAATAATTTGACATAAGTAACTCTGACATTCTAACTTTAGTGGCTGCCTATGACTAAGATCCATGACATTTCATATCTGTAATAGTTATTCATCTACTCACTGCATCTAAAGTAAGCCTTTGCACCTTCATTTAAACACAAAAACCTGTCAATTTACTCCCAGGGGAGAAAAAAAACATAAACCATGAACTGGCTTTAGCTTATGATGAAATTTGCATTTTTCTTCACCTCACTTCATTTCACCTTCAGGTAGGAGAAGTAGCTTGGGAGAGGACACGAAAAGCAAAGAGAGAAGGGCGAGCATGACGAATGAGAGTAAGTTGAAGAGAACTAGTGTGGATGAAAGAACGGCGAAAAGTAGAGAGACGAAAGCCGAGCGGCGTTCATCTGACGCCAAAAAAGTCGAAAAGACCCCTCGAAAGTCGTCGGCAGAAGTCGGGGAGAACCTGGACATGCCCAGCGCCGAATACATTCGCTCCATCATCATGAACGAAGACACTAAAACTTATTCCATGGACACGAATATGGAACAGCCCTCGAATTTGGAGAATTTGGACGCCACCGGCTTGGATCTGGATCCCACTCTCTTGGACAATCTCAACAACGATGAGATTTCCGAAGACATTCTCTACCAAGTAGCCAAGTCGTTAGTTTCCAATCCAGAGTTGCAGAATGCCATCGACAAGGGAATAAATGATGGAGTCCTGGATCCGACTGTGGCCGCCCCTCATAATGCCCTTCCCAATCAAAGTGTTTCAGGAAATGTGAGTATATCGAAAAATGGATGGAGAATTTTTGACTGTTCTATGACATGATAGAATGTAAAGAAAACCTTACTTGAGTATAATAACTGTTATTTTGTGTAGCCTCCACAGGAAAAATTAGTCCAGGGTGGGACACAAATTGTCAGGCCTGATGGTAGAATTGTTGTGATACCTCCGATTGAGAGACCTACCACCCGAAGCCGAAATAAAAGGAAGGAGGAAACCAAACCGACAATAATGTGAGAATATTTTAATTTTACTTGGCGAAAAAAATGTCTTACATAACTTGAAGACTAGCTTTATCTTCAACATTCTGTATCTCAAAACCTACGCCATATTCATTTTGTATTGCCCAGTATGTAAAAAGTATCACTGCTTTATATGACCTCCCATGATGAGTCATTTGAACAAATTCCAATATCATTTGAACATCCTAATATCAATAATACATAGTGATTTGAAAAACTGAAGAAACACCCTTGTATAGATAGCCAAATTAGAAAGTGGTAGAAAATAAAATAATAAAAGTGTGTTAATAAATACACAACATAGAAAATATTAGCACCTCCATATTCAGTACATTCAATGCTGTGTATTTATCAATACTTTTATCCAAAACATCATAAACTCCGATCCCGAACCCCCCCCCCGATACCAATGATGAATGGAATCGGATCATATTATTACAAAACTCGTCCACCATATTATATGGAATCCGCCATCTTGAATTTTCTAATTTTAACGGAAGAATCATAATCTCCGACCCCAAAAACCCCCAGATCCGAATTTTGAATAAATTTGGATCATAATTACCAAAATCGTCCGCCATATTGGATCCACCATCTTGAATTTACAAATTGTGACGAAAGAATCATAATCTTCGATCCCGAAAACCCCCAGATACCAATTTTGAATATGATCGGATCATACATATGAAACTCGTTCACTATATTATTTGTTCCGCCTTCTCGAATTTACAGATTCTTGAAGAAAGAATCATTATTACAAAACTTGGCTTCGACGAAATATCATGATCTCCGACCTCGAAAACCCCCAGATACCAATTTTGATACAATCGGATCATATTACAAAACACGTCCTCCATATTGCATCCACCGTCTTAAATTTTCAAATTTTGATGAAAGATTCAATATCTCCGACCCCAAAAGTCCCCAGACACGAATTCTGATTAGATTCGGATCACAATTACAAAACTCGTAAGCCATATTGGATCCGCCATCTTGAATTCACAAATTTTGACGAAATAATCATAATCTTCGACCCCGAGAACCCCAGATAGAAATTTTGAAAATGGCTCTCGGACTAATAGATACATACATACATACAGGGAAATCTAATAAAAGGGTGTTGAAAATGAATAGGTTACCAACTTGTGTGAATACTTCCAGAGCCGTCCACAAACCATTGGACGAAGAGCACGTGTCCGGCAACGAATTGGACAGCTCGGCGGACGAGGGAGCAGCAGAAGAGGAGGAGGAGGAATCCGAAGACGATCCGAACAAGTTGTGGTGCATCTGCAACCAGCCGCACAACAACCGCTTCATGATATGCTGCGACACCTGCGAGGAATGGTATCACGGCAAGTGCGTCAACATCACCAAATCCATGGGTCAGCAGATGGAGGCCGAAGGCAAGGAGTGGATTTGCCTCTTTTGCAAGGTATACATTGATTTGGAAAAATAAACGCACCGCCCTCGATTATTTACACTAACAAGATGATCCACCTCCATGTGAAATGTTAAAGCCAAGTTTGGCCTTAGGTCTCGGCTGGTTCGTAGAAGGCGCTTGCGAAACTCAGCAAATACAGTGACTGTATATAAGATGGTGCCGGCAATAATTATTGTCAACGATTTGATTGGTTGTCGCTGCAGACTCTATTAGGAGACAAATTTTCTGTATGTTTACATTGGGTTTATATGGTTTTTGCATTGATCCAGTAATGTATTCTTCTAGTTCACTTTTGCTTTCCGAAATTTTTGCATTTTCTTCATCAAATAAAAGTATAATATCCGAATAATTTCTACTTGGCGAGCGGTATATACCCCATATTTATTCAAATTTGTATCAATACAACATTCTGTTTGTTCATACCAGGTCGGCGAAAATATTTCCAACAACAAACAAGCTCATCTTCCTCACAACTTTTCCTCAATATCCTATTTAAATCGAGAAGTTTTTTTTTGTTTCTGTGGCCGAATATTGTTGTTGCTCTTTATAATCATATACTGAATGTCAAACAATTATTTTATAAAGCATCATTGAATTTCTTGAAAAAAAAAACACTGCATTTAGTAATAAAATTAGTCACAATTATTGTACAAGAAATGATAATGTTCAACTTGAAAAACATAATCTCAAAATCATGCAAAAACATAGTAGTTTTATTGGGTCAAAAATTTTTAACAGAGTTCCATCAAAATTGAGACGTTTGAATATTGTAACATTCAAAAAAAAAATTAAAATTTGGTTTTTGGATAATGCAAAAGAAATTGATAATCTCTTCAAATAATTTTTTTTTTTTTTTTTTTTTTTTTTTTTTTTTTTTTTTTTGTTTTTGTTTGTGTGCTTTGTATATATTGAATTTATAATCAATATTTAATCTAAATATTTTTAAGAACTTGAAAATTTTTTACAAAAAGTTTATAATAATTATCTAATTCACACACAGGTCAATAACCTATGTGAAGTAGATAAAATTTAGAATTTTTATAATATTAGAATATGTATGTCTTTGTAAATGTATTCATATGAGAATAAATAAATAAATAAATAAATAAATAAATATTGAAATGATTTGTAGAAATTTTGAATATGTATTGTTTATCTGCAGGATCCGTTGCTTGAGAGGCCACAAGCGGCTGCACGTAGGATTCGAAAAGCCTCGAGAAATTCGAGGGCCTCTTCCGATAGTGCCGGCAGCAATTCCAAGAGGGCAGAATCCACAACGACTTCGGTACCATGCGTGGTGTGCCAAAAATTGTCGAGAAAAAACTCCATCTACTGCAGCGAATCTTGTATTCTGGCCCACGCCCAAGGTATCGAACGGGTGAGTTACAATAATTATTGTTATTATTGAGGACTATTCCTTTCTTGGTCTCTAGAATCAATCAGAATCGTCCATTTTCACGGTTTCTTCTGTATTTCAGCGATATTTTTTTGTTTACTGAATTTTATCGGACTTGCTCTACCAATACAGAAGCCGACCGACGTGACCACCGATCAGTGACGTTTAAAACGTCAATTATGTTGGAATCCAGAATGATGGATGCAGTGTGCGCAACTCTCGCTAGCCGCTCGTTTATTGTCTCAATCATGGAATACTCATACAACTTGTAATGCTATTTCTCCTGGAAATTTTCGTCGATTGACATACTCCAGCTTGCTTAATTTCGCTCATGACATTGTTCCAAAACTTCCCGCCTTGGTAAACAATGTCATTCGGCGAAATTATTAGGCAACAAGCTGTCGTAACAGTCGCCGAATATTCCCGGAAAAATAGTATCACTTGTAGTAGTACATATGAAAAATTCAGGGGTACCATAGAGATGTAAGCAACTGGAATATTATGAGATATTCTGCAACCACATTTACTTGTTTGTTTACCTCCAGAGCCGTTTTTCAATGGCATTCAGAGTGAGACAAAATTTTTTTGGAGCGTTCTGTAATTTGTCAGCCAGGGAAAAAATTAATCATTTTGCTGGATTATTAATTCGAAGGGATTAGATACATTTCAACTTTGACAGCTTTTTGTTGAATTACTGAAGACTGAAGGTCAGTTATTGGGATGAGTTTGAATTGAATTAATTTAATAATCATTAATATAAGCAGCACAGTTTGTATAAGTCAGAGATAAACTCCTTGATCCAAATCGGTAAGAAATCACAATTTTTATTGGCATTGCTCCAGAGGTCACATGACTGGAAAATCTTCTCACACTGCTCTCAGATGCGGTTACAGAACATCTCTTGAGTTGAAATAACTTTCAGGTGATTGTGTTCGAGAGATCGACAGGCAAAATGCTGACGGGCAACAAAGCTCCGAGCGCCGCCAATCTGGACCAATGGCTGAAGGAGCACCCCGGCTACGAAGTGGTTAGATCCGGCGGCAAGATCGTGACAGCCAAGGCGGGCAATCTGACGCAATCGAAGCTGAAGCTGGTGAAAAACGTTCACGACGAAGGCGTCTCGCTGGCCGTCCACAAGAAGGGCGGCGTCAATGTGGGCGTGCTCAAACACGCCCCACTAAAACACGCCCCTAAGAGTGGAGGAGGGGCTGAGGCGACGCCCCCCAAGCAGCAAGGCACGCCTCTCAAACAACATGCCACGCCCCTAAAGGGTGTCGTAACGGCCATCAGGAAGGCGGGACAGCAGCAGCAGCCTGACACCGCCAAAATGAAAGTGATTCCGCCCGAGCCGATGAAATTACTGGCCACGCCCCCCACCCCCAAGCAGCCCAAGCTGCTGCAGACGACGCTGACGAAAACGCCGCCGGTGAGCGCCGAGAAGAAGAAGACGCCCAAAAAGAGGGAGGAGCAGGCCAAGAAGAAGGAGGAGCAAGCCAAGAAGAAGGAGGAGCCGCCGTCGCCCAAGCCGCAAGAGAACATTCGCGAGAACGTGAAAAAGACCGTGTTCGAACAGCTGACCAATCGACTGAAGGGATGCGCCGACTTGAAGTTGACCGAGGAGGAGGTGAAGGTCATCTCCGGTGAGATCGAGTCGCAGTTGCACAAGTGCTTCGGCGATACCGGCCAAAAGTACAGGAACAAGTATAGGAGTCTCATTTTCAACATCAAGGACTCCAAGAATCAGACGCTGTGGCGGAGGATATGCGAAAAGTCCGTCAACCCTTATGAGCTGGTGAGTAATAAACTTTCTATATAACACTTCAGAGGGTCGTTTACAATTATTATTATTATTATGTATGGATTTATATCATTTTATATTTTCATTCAATTCAACTCTTATCTATCAATTACCATCCAGTGAGTAGTTGACAATTTGTTCTTTTCGTCTTTCAGGTTAGGTTGTCTCCGGACGACTTGGCGAGCCAAGAGTTGGCAAGTTGGAGAGAAAAGGAGGCCAAGCATACTCTGGATATGATCAAGAAATCCGAATTGGAATTGCTCAATTGCAACAGGCAGTATGTTCTCAAAACACACAAGGGTGAGTTAATGCCTTAGAGTAACTAGGTCTGCAGAAGAGACATCACAATCTGGGTACCACTGCCAAATTGATAATTAATGAGGATTTTTCAGATCAGACATTATATTCAACTCGGCACAAAAAGCTTATGACAAAAAATAGAACAACATAACATGATATCCAACAATCAGATATGAATCTCTATATGTGGATACCTTAGATATTAATTAGTAGAATACGTCTTTTGGAACTCTGAGTCTCGGATTATTCAGATGATGAAATGAAAATGACAAATATCTAATCTATCATCAGGTCGGCACTTCGAAGGCGCAAATTCATTTCTGTATGGGAGGTACCCTTCACACTTCTTGCTATTCAGTGACTTGACCACGAATGACAATGACGCTTTAGTCTTCTCCACAACCAAAATGCACGAATTCAATACCACCTAAATTGGTCAATCTATAAAAATTCACTACATGCCCGTGCAGCAAAAGATATATGTTGCACGAAATCAAGGCGAGCGAAGCCGCGGGTAAAAGTTGGCGATAAAATAAAACATTTGATTTGTCTAAAGATGAATGGGGCAAAGTTTCGTAGTAGACGAGTAATAATTTTAAGAAATGTCGTTTGTCGTTTTTGCTTGTTGTTATTAATGGTTTCAGACTTTTCTGGCTGTTCTGTGATTAGTTTTCGATGTTTCAGTAACTAATTCAATATTATAAATCTAAAGCAGAATATTTTGTGAACAAATATGGTTGGCACTGTCAGACCTGTAAAGCCAAGTTTGTCAATAATATCCCAATCCAACATTCCACAGGTACGTAGAAATTTGATCCAGAGACAGTTTCTTTTGAGGGCTTCCTTTTGTTGATAAATAGCGTGTTCGAAATATTGAAAATACCTCACGTCAGAGTTGATTCATCAATGGAAATACACACATTTATAGAAATCCCGATCCATTAGATATATATAATATAAAGAATATCGATTCTCTGGCAATGGTTCCTCCACAGAGTTATCCCCATCATTCACGATTTCATTCATTTATCCGTGTTTGGCGTTCAGGTTTGTTGGCGTATACTTTTTAGTGTTTCAAGAATAAATCGCAGTGCCTATCTATTGTTATTCAGTCTGAGTTTATTACCATTTTTGTCTCTACTTCTCTTCTAATGGATTTGTTCGTTTGGTAAGGCGAGCAAGTGGTGGAGGACGATCGCGTGGACAAAATCGATAACGCGGAGATGATAAAAAGTCTGACCGAGGGATCCGCTTTGGACAGCGGAGAGAGCAAAAGTGACGGCACCAAGGACAAAAAGGGCTCGTCGAAACACGGAGGTCACAAGGACAGGGACAAAAAGAACAAGGACAAAGAGCACAGGTCACATAGGTCGTCCAGCAAAGACAAAGAAAGGCGAGTATTTGTTTATTTTCTATACTTGATGTAAAATATAAACGTGATGATACGTAACCATTTTATGGATTAAAAAACAAAAACAAAGTCGTGCCGGACATCAGTATTTCACCATCTTCTAGTGCGAAGAGCACATGTGGTATCCTATGAATATGAAAGAGGTCCATCTGACGGAAGTTCGGATGGATATCTGTCACATTCCATATAATCCAAGTTCGATTACATATCATCAGGTCCGAAGTGGACCTGCGGCCGCGGTCTACTTCGACCAAACCAACAGCATGGACTTGATGATATTATGTCTCTAATACGAAAAAGTAAGTGCTACATATCATCAAGTCATCATTATTTATGTATAGAAGGATCATTATAAACATGGTTTGAGTTGAAAGTTTTACTAAGGTGTACACGCCCATTATGTCCTTTCTAATACACCTAAGAATATGTATAAAAAATTTCATGATAATCGTTCCAGTAGTTTTGGCGTGAAAGCCCGACAAACAAACTCACATTCACATTCATAATATTATTAGGAATGACAGACAGACAGAAAGACAGAAAGTCTTTATTGTACTAAAAACCTAAAGTTTTTGTTGACAAAGCATGTGTATCATAAGCTATAACTAATATTAAAACTACATAAAATCATGTAAAATATGCACATATATAAGGAACAAAACATTTAAGTCGAACATATACTAGTAAAAGTCACACTATAAAAAAAGATATTGAACAGTTAAAAACGAATTATACAAACTGACAAACTTAATTAAATGCGTCTTCATAAAATTCTTGCAAGGTATAATAGGCTTTATTCAGTAGTAGCTCTTTTACTGCCTTTCTAAACTTAATATGTGTTAGCAATGAACGAATATGTGAAGGCAGGTGATTAAACATTTTTTTGGCATTATAAATAAAAGACTTTTTTATTAATGTACTTCTAGGAATTAGTAGGGAAACCGTACAGTCAACATTTCTTGTGTTGTATACCGACATCGAATGAATGTTCGTGGTATATTTTTTGTGGATCATACATACTTTCTCTAGAATGAAGATGCAAGTTAATGTCAGTATTTTCTGAGCCACAAATAAGGGTTGACATGGTTCTCTGAATTTAGCTTTACTAAGGTATCTAACCGCCCTCTTTTGTAAAATGAACACAGAGTTCAAAAGAAATTGAGAACTATTCCCCCAAAAACAAACTCCATATCTCAAAATTGAGTCAATCAGGGCAAAATGAACTGATCTTGCTGCAGATATATTCAATTCAGATGAGATGACTCTTACTGCAAAACAACCAGAAGATAATTTTTTGCATAAATTTGTAATGTTGGTGTTGAATGAGAGACTGTCATCCACATAGAGCCCTAAAAACTTAGCCGAGGATTGAGTACAAATTCTTGAGTTTTCCAGAAGTATATCATTAAGAGTGCACTTGAACGTCAAAATACATGTTTTAGAAATATTGAACTTATTCGCATCACACCAATTTTTTACTACCAATATATCTTCAACGACATAGTTACTCAGTTCGTCATTATTGTTGCTATGCCACAGTATTGTGGTGTCATCTGCGAACATAGTAAACTTTCCTCTAATAGTGATATTTGCTAGGTCATTTATATATATTAAAAATAAGATTGGTCCAAGCACAGATCCTTGAGGGACCCCACACTTCACTAACTGAGACCTGGACTTTATTTTGTTAAGCGAGACTATTTGAGTACGCTCTGATAGGTATGATTGGAACCATCTTAGTGTAATATCTCTAAAGCCATAAATTTCTAATTTTTTAAGCAAAATTTCATGATCAACACAGTCGAATGCTTTTGAAAGGTCGCAAAAAACTGCTGCAACTGCGTCACCATCGTTTATGTTGATATATATATCCTCTAATAAAGCAAACATAGCATCATTTGTATTTTTTGCTGTTTGAAAACCGAACTGGTAGGTGCTTAGAGTGCGATTATGAAGCAAAAATGAGAACATTCTTTTTTTAACTATATGTGTTGAAAGAATCAATGTATTTATAGGGATAGGGAAAGGAGTCGAAAGAGATCGAAGAGCCGGGATAGAAAACACGGGGGAGAGCACAAGAAGCACTCGAGGTCGAAGGATAGGTCGAGAGACAGGCAGCACAGGAAATCCTCGCACAAGGCCTCCAAACACAAAAAGGACCTCATTTCATCCACTGACAAACTCGACAAAAAAGCGAAAGAGATCTTGGAACAGTTGGTGGATAACAAGATTGTGCTCCCCTTAGCCCCCTTGGATGACAGATTGTGGAAACATGTGCCGCAAGAGGACATCCTTCCAGGTATTTGAAATTATAGGCAAATGTTTATTCTTAGAACATAATCATTAATTCATGATGATTCAAAAGATGAACTTCCCCGAACATATTTCATCATTATGGGAATGTGAAAATACTGTGACAATGAAGGTTTTTTTGAATTTTTTTCTTCAACAGCAATTGAAAGTGATAGTGACCATGAACCATCCTCCACTGTGACCATCCCCACTCCTCCCAGAGTACCAGATAGTAGTGACGAGTTTGCTGGAGGTGGGAGAACACCGGAAATCGATATCGAGAAAAACTGTAAGTTCTAACAATGCATGTTTCTTTATTTTTGAAATACAGGGTGATCCGATTTGTTATTCATATCCCATATACCGGGTGACACAGACACATGGTATACCATCCTTTTCTCCAATGTTTTTCTAGCTATATTTCTGAAATTCGGATCATCGAATAAGCTTACTCTAGAGAGCACTTTCTCACAGTTTAGGATTTTTTATTCTTCTTCTTCCGGTTTTCCTTGCAATGACATGAGTTGCGTTTTATTTGTTCCATTCTGGTAGCAGTGGTGGGAACAGAATGACGTTTACAAATAAAATGAGAAACTTCATGACCTTGCATGGGAGAAATCACATAAGAGGTTATATTTATATATTTGGGGCTACAAATGATTCCAAAATCATGATACTAGAGTTATGAATCTAGAAAATCAACCAACGAATATTCTGTCTTACTTGAAAGAATCATAAATTTGTGAACTTCAAGATAACAATGTCTGCTAAATGTCTTCTACTTTCAAAATGTTCCGTTTTTCGTCAGTCTAATATAATTTTTTGACAACTGTCAACAGTCATTCACGTCATTCCTTGTAGTAAGACGGAATGAAAAGTAGCAACCGGAATCGGAAAAGTTGCAAATAAAACAACGCATCAAAGTGATTCCGGTGGCGAAATCGGATAAATAAAACGCAACTATTAACTTTCGATTTCCGTATGTAATTCAACAAGTGTATTGATGCTTATCAATAAATTTTATGAAATTGCCTTCCGCATAACGCCACTGTTTATATTAATTTGTTAAGGCCAAATCAGCCGCTTATCACTACACACAACGCTGCCAAAATTCTAAAAACAACACCCTCTATCTTGGAAACAATGTATTTCCGGACCTTCATTTATGGGAACTTTTTTTCATAACATGATCTGAGGAATCACGCGCTTCAATATTGCCGCGACTTTTTTTATTTTAAACACCCTGTATAAATAGCTATTGCACACCCTTCTATCTGAATGATATTCTTCAGTGCCTACTACGTCGGCTGAGAAGGAAAATGTGAGAGAAGTGAAAGAGGCGATCGTGAGGAGCACATCGCCGCCTCCCAGGAAGAAACCGCCCGCGGAAATATGGAGAGGGGCCGTCAATATGATTGACGTCGCGCAAATTTCAATAACCGCCCACGAAGTGTCCGGTAAGCACCATCACGCCCATTTTTCTTTCCAATTGATAGTTTTGTAATGTCATAAAATATACTCACTGGCAAAAAAACGGCCACAAACTAATTTGTCACATTGTTCGCCCTGTAACTTCTTTAATTCTTGGACGATTTTTGCGAAATTTCGACCAAATTGTGAATTAATGTTTCGGAATGTTGGCCTCAATTTTAGTTCCAAGGAGAGTTGTTAATCGAATTATTAATGAAAATTTCACACCTAATATGTTCGACCCATTAGAAGCCTGTATTTTCTATTGTTACCATAGCAACTAAACGAATTATTTCTTCCTCCTTGTTGGAATGAGCATGAGATTACACTGGAAATTTTTTGACCTAAGGACTTATTTTTTATTATTTCATCAAACTAAACTTGTTTAATTATATTTTATTCAAACGAGTAATAGTATGTGAGTAAATTTAATTGATACTTTGAGTTTCTTGTGAAAAAATATATTTATCTGATGGCATGTCATAATGACAACGTAGGTAAAACACTGTATTGAAGTTTCGGTGACATCAAACGCAATTTTCAAGCCATTTTTTCTGAGATTTTTCATTATTATAGTGTTAATTATGTGAAAAATAATCCAAGAAAAGTGTACGCTCTCAGAATACCACAAAGAGGATTTTGGAAGAATAATCGAAAGATTTTTCGAAATAATTTGACATGACATCTAAAAAGAAAAAAAAATTGTCAAAGTCAGAAGAAATCAAAATTTCCAGTACGAATTCCACACAAGAAAATTCAGATGAAGAAAGCTTCTATCTACCATCGAAATACCCAGAAGATGAAAAGTTTGCACAATACAGAAAACAATTCTATATCTCCACACAAGATGAAAGAGAAGCAGGAAGCTCAGAAAGACATCAAGACGACGACCATGAAGATTCTATTGCTAATTTGAGCAAAAATGGTGAAATTTGTTCCATTTGTTCAGCACATTTCAACAGAAAATCATATTCTATCCAATGCACAGTTTGTGAGAATTGGATTTGCCTTAATTGTTCCAAATTATCAAGGAAAGAAATCAATGAAATCAAGAAATTTAAATCTAAATGGGTATGTAATAAGTGTCTCATCAAGAAAACAGAGAATGATACAAAAAGTATAGTTGAAAGTAAAGAAGCAGGAAAAAACTCGCTAGAAGAAATTTTACATGGAATAAATACTAAAATAGAATACATAATAAAGAAAATTGAAAAACTAGAAGATATTTTGGAAAGAGATGAGAACGTTGCAACAAAACTGAAAGAAATTGATGATAAACTAATAAAACTTTTCGAAACGAAATTGCCCGACATGAATAAAAACAAAACATATGCTGAAATGGTCAGTGGAGCCACAGTGGAAGAACCAGTCCTTCAACAAAATATACCTTCATTAATAATAAAACCCAAAAAAACTCAAACTAGTAAACTCACTAAAGAAGAAATACATAAGAAAATAAATCCTGTGAAAGCCAAAGCATCGATTAAAAGTGTGAGGGAACTAAAAAATGGAGGAATCATTATAAAGACAAACAGTAATGAAGAAATAGCAAGAATGAAAGATTTGAGTGAAAAAGAATTGGGTCCTGATTATACTGTACATATCACAAAAATGAATCGACCTAGGATGGTATTCATAGGACTCCAAAGGGAATACACAGATGAAGAACTCCAGGATGAATTGAGAGTACTTAGGCATATTGACGTGGATGATAAATTATACGTAAAATATACCAGACAGTCAAAATTTTCAAAAAAATACATTGCTTATGTTGAAACTTCAGGACAAACTTTAAAAAAATTGGTTGATAAGGAAATATGTATTGGATGGAATAAATGCAAAATTAAGGAAGATATCAATATAAGGTACTGTTACCGATGCTGTGGCTATGGACATAAAACGGCAGAGTGTAACCGCAATAAAGTTTGCGCTTTTTGTGCTGGTGAACATGACGTTAAAAACTGCGATAAATCTACTCCGTGTTGCACAAACTGTAAAATGGCACACATTAAATTTGGAAAAGAAAATCATTATATACATGAAGCTAATACTATCCAGTGTCCTATTTATCTCAACAGAATCAAAATTGCCAGAGAACAAATCGATTATATAAACTAATCTGAATCTGATGAATAATCAAATAGATAGAAAAATAAAAATATTATATATGAACGCAAGATCTATGAAGACGAAAATGGATGAAATTGATATAATAGTAGCTGACCAAGATATCAATGTAATTGTAATTAGCGAAACATGGGTGAGGAGAGAAGAAGAAAAATACTATAATTTCAAAAATTTCCATTCTATTTATGCAAGTAGGGAAAAGAGAGGGGGAGGATTGGGAATCTTTATCCATAAGAATTTGGAATTTGAGATACTTGATAAAATGGAACAGGAATTATCTTATCTGGCAGTAAGATTAAGCACTATCAACTTTGTTATAAGTGGAATATATCGACCACCATCCTTCAGGAAAGAGAGTTTTTATAATATCATCGATCAAAAATTGGAAAATTTGGGTAAATTAAAATGTAAAAGCTTATTACTGGGTGACGTAAATATTGATATTTCAAAGCAGAATGATAATGATACAAAAAGACTCATGGACATATATTCATCAAACAGCTTCGATTTATGCAACAAACATGTTTCAACAAGAGTCAGTAACAATACAACCAGTCTGATTGACCATGTCATCACAAATTCGAGCGAAAACATTGAAATATGTCTGAAAGACTCACCAATTAGTGATCACAAAATTCAGATTGTGAATCTTCCATTAAAAAGTAACATCAAAAAAACAAAATTCAAAAGAATAGATTTACAGAAAATTAAAGTTGATATGCTGAAGAATGAACTCTTGAAAATGCCTATAAACACATATAAAGACCCTAACATAATCTATGAAAAAATTCTCGATGTATTTGAAAATTGCTCCTATACTACAACTTTGAAAATAAAAGAAGATTCGAAACCTTGGTTTGATGAAACATTAGTTAAATTAATTAAATTACGTGACAAATATTTTCAAATGAAGAAAGAAAAAAATGGTGAATCAACTGCTGCTGAATTATATCAACATTATAACAAACTGGTCAAAAAAACCATCAGGGAAAAAAAACAGGATTACTATAAACAAAATTTGACTAATGGAGACCAAAAATCTATGTGGAACACCATAAATTCCATAATGCATAATAAAGTGAAAGAACCCAATAAGGATGTTGAATTTATTAAGAAGAATGACAAGAAAATATTCAACCCCAACGAAATATGCGAAGAATTTAATGAACATTTCATAAACGTTGGACCAAAATTAGCAGCAAAGATTCCTATTTCATTTAAAATGGGAATTGACAAATTAAGTTCAAATTCAATGTACTTAAAACCAACAGATGATGAAGAAATTGAAGATATCATAAACTCCTTAAATTCAAGAAAATCTCCAGGTTTTGATAACATTAGTGTAAGCATTGTAAAGACTGTTAAATATGAAATATCATCGATCATTTCAAAATTGATAAATTTATCTTTTTTATCAGGGATTATACCTGAAAAAATGAAAATAGCGAAAGTTAAACCAATTTATAAAAGTGGATCAAAGGATGATATGGAGAATTATAGACCTATTTCCTTACTACCAATCATTTCAAAAATAATGGAAAAAACAATGAATAACAGACTGCATGATTATTTAGAGGCAACAGAATATCTTTACAACCATCAATATGGCTTTCGCAAATCTTGTGACACAGAGTCAGCTGTTTTGGATGTTGTGACAGAATTTCAAATGCAACTAGATGCTAATAAGATGTGTGGACTTCTGTCAATAGATCTTCGCAAGGCATTTGATACTGTGAATCATGAAATTCTCCTCAATTTGTTATACCAACTTGGCATAAGAGGTATAGTTCATAAATGGTTTCAAAATTATTTGAGTGGTAGAAAGCAATTTGTTTATCAAGGAACAGTTTCAAGTACAGCTAATGACATTATATGTGGAGTACCACAAGGGTCAATCTTAGGCCCTGTTTTATTTTTGATATATATCAACTCGATTGTTAACATCCAATTGAAAGGAAAAGTTTACATGTTCGCTGATGACACTACATTGATTTATTCCGCAGACTCAATCCAACAAATCAGAAATGCAATTGAAAGTGACTTGATTACTTTATCTTCATGGTTGTCCTATAATAAATTGAGTATAAATTACAGCAAATCAGCATTCATGTATATCTCTAAACGACGCCTCTCAAGTGAACTAAAATTTGATATCAAATTTAATAATGAAATCATCAAATATTCCACAGCCATCAAATTCCTTGGGATATTCCTTGATGAACATTTGTCATGGTCCAAACATATTGAATCGATCAGAAAGAAAATATCTCCAGTAATCGGAGTACTCTACAGGATCAGACACCAAATCACTTTGAAATACTTGAAATGTATATATTTTTCCTTGGTTTATTCAAAATTACAATACTTGATTTCAGTTTGGGGTACAGCTAGATTATCAATCATGAAGCCAATCAAAATTCTTCAAAACAAAGTTATTAAATGTATATACAAAATAGATTACTTGGAACCAACAAGAAATCTTTATAAACCTAGGCAATTGTTAGATATAAACTCCATTTACAAATTCAAAATATTGAATTTCATCCATTCCGTCAAATATAATTATAAACATTCAAATCTGAATTTTGAAGTCAATAGTCATAAACACGAACACATAACCAGACAAAAAGATATGTTAACTCTCATCAAAATTAAATCAGATATCGGTAAAAGATCTATTTTATACAATGGAACAATTCTCTATAATGAATTACCTGCCAGACTAAAGAAAAAATTAAGTGTTGAAAAATTCAAAAAAGAACTGAAAAAATACTTATGTCTTTGATTCTCTCCATATGTCATCCTGAATCAATTCAAGAAATTATATTCAACAGTCTCTAGAAGAAACAACATTATATGTATTATGTATATGATTTAAAAATGATTATCTGATTATCTAATTTTTGTTTTTTTTTAGTTGCTCTTTCATAATTTTCCCTGCTATAAACATGTATGTTTCTTGGGAATAATAATAAAGATAATAAAGATATATATAATGAATTCATTATGGTACTAAGTACCATAATGAAATTCTATAAGGAAAACATGTAATGGTTTGATCAAAAAAGTTTATTCAAAATGCATAACTATGTACAAAACTATTTATTATAAATGGTAAAAGAACAATTACTACAATTTGTAATATTAATATAATGGCAAAGCACAGCTCACTCACCTACTAATATTTGAAACTACACAATACTTACTCCTTTAAAAATAGTTGTCATTGTGACATGTCGAAAATGCGGTTTTTAATTTTTCGAAAATGTATTGATATAAATGCCATCAGATAAAATTTTGTATGTAATACGAATCATAAACAATCATTATGGCACACGCCGTGTTATCGTACTCGGCTACGCCTCGCCCGATAACATTCACGACTTGTACCATAATGATCGTCTTTATGATCCTTATTACATGAATAACTATTCTACCAACTAGTGAAAGCAACAAGTGAAGCGAATTTGTGAAAAACTGGATTCCAGAATGAAAAATTTGTTGCCAACACCCGATTACGTTTCTCGTTTATTTGTTTATTAGGTGATTGCAGCGGATTGGGTCGAGAGCTGTCCCCCAATTTGGACATTGTGGGACGCATCTCTCCCGACACCGTGTGGGATTACATCAGCAAGATGAAGTGCTCCAACAGCAAGGGCATCTCTCTGATCCGTCTCAACGCCACCAACGTGGAGGAAAAGATGCCCTATCTGGCCCTCTACAGCTATCTCAGCAGCCGAGACAGATTGGGCGTCGTCAAAAGTCTCAACAAGGCCGTCAAAGACTTTTACATTTATCCGCTCGCGCCACAGAAGCCTATCCCGCAAGTTTTGCTGCCAATCAGCGGACCCGGTAAACAACTTACTTTTTCTGCAACCGACACAAAAGTCGTCCATTTTGATACCAAAATTAGCTCTTAAGTTGACGTTTCTATTACTGACACAAAAATAGGTATGTTGCTAGGCAACATATTTAGTTCCTACGAGCTAAAGTCGAATTTTAGTTCCTAGGAGCTAAAGTTGAACTTTAGCTCCTAGGAACTAAAAAGGATCTACTGGACGTCTTCAAGAATAAACAACATTGTGACGGTTGGTTATTTGGGTTGAGACGCATACCTGATTTGTTTCCGATTTCAGCAGATTTGGCATTTCATACTCATGCTGGAGATATAAATACACCTTATTATAGTTTAGTATTGGAATTATAAACATCTCAGCTTAGTATTTTTGTTCGATCAGGGAAGCCTTCAAGATTCAAATACTAGCTTGATCTGTATTTCATTCGTTATTCTCGGGATGGATAACTTGTTTTTGAATAATCACGGCAAGCAATAGTTTTTTTGTCTCAAACAACGATATTGTTTAGCTTCATTTGATTATCAAGTCAAACACAGTGTAGTATGCCAGTATGGAGAGGAATAAAAAATCACTATTATCATTGTTGATATGCTCACTAACCTAACATTTTCCACGTCTTGTTCCTATAGCTGGCACTGGCGCGGTATTTGCCATTAGAGCACCTGGTCCATACACAAATATGTCACTCTGTGGTTGTATATATATTATTGAAACTACAATTCGAACATCCTTGAAAACCTTACCTGCTGTTAATGCAGGTAAAATATTCTTACCACATGGATTATTTGTCAATATTTGTTGCATTGCATACATATGGCACGGCATTGGTGGTTACTTCACATGTTTATTTGAGTTAATTGTTTCGGTTGCAGAAAAAATAGCATGTTTCATTCGGATCAAAAGTGACTTTGTTTGACTCGCAAATTTTGCTTTCGCTTGTCAAACAAAGTGTCACTTTTGATCCTAATAAAACAATCTACTATTATTCTAGAGTTCCTAAATGTACTTGACAATGCTGTTTTGACGTTATTTGATTCTCTCGGATAATTCCTCGAGAATAATAGCTATCATTATACGCTCCTTGAAGAATATACTATTTGCATACAGTGCATTCCCGGGACGCGATAACAGTGTTCTATTTGGAAAAATGGCGGAGGACTTCATCATCCTGTATATAGTACAGTGTGACCCACTTCTAATGGAAACACCCCTGTATCTTACGTAATCGTTGTGTAAGGATCCTGAAATTTGCTGCAGCGAGAGATATACCAAATATGCGCTCTATGACCAAGTGGGGTCATCTTCAGTGATATACACTGCTCGCCAACAGCTATGGAACCACCCCAATTAAGAGTCAAAATAGGTTGAAAATCACTTCGGATTCGGAATCAGGACGCCCAATTCACTAACTATTCATAGTTTTCCTAAAAAATTTTTAGTTCAAAAAAATTGAATTTTGTCTCACTTCTCATGGAAGCACCCCCGTATCTCGAGTAATTATTGAGGTAGGGTTCTGAAATTTGCAGGAGGAAGGGAAAGTCCAAAGATAAAGTCAATTACGTAAGATACGAGGGTGCTTCCGTAAAAAGCACGACAAAGTTTTCAGAACTGAAAATTTTCCAGGAAAAATATGAATAGTGAGTGAATTGGGCGTCCTGATTCCGAATCCGAAGTGATTTTCAACCTATTTTGTCTCCTAATATCATTTTTCGGAAATTGGGGTGGTTCCATGGCTGTTGGCGAGCAGTGTATATCACTGAAGATGACCCCACTTGGTCATAGAGTGCATTTTCGGTATATCTCTCGCTCCAGAAAATTTCAGGATCCTTACCCAACGATTACGTAAGATACAGGGGTGTTTCCATTAGAAGTGGGTCACACTATATACAGGGTGTCCCATAAGTAATGGATCAAAAGAAGTGGGGTCATAGGGGGTGGGGTCATTTGTAATCAAACTAACGGTATATGTTGTTATCAAATTGTCGATGGTTCGAAAGTTATTTAATTTTTCTGAAAAATGCGACCCATTCCAAAGAAATTAATAAAGATAAGGCTGTTTTGAAAAATTTCTATACATCTCTGTTTTGAATAACCCCAAATGTTATACCATTTCAGAATCTGTAATAAATGGGCAACTTTTTCATATGATTGGTTATCTTTGTGGGGTAGTTTTTAAATCTGCCAGCGGCATTTAAAAATCGACTTGGATATTTCATTCAATGACAAAATTCAATGAAAACAACATTTTTCTCAGATAATTGATAAGAAGTAATACATGTCATAAAATTATTTCTGGTGAATGGTGCATCCATGTGGATGAAATTTGTGAAAGAAAAAATCACAAATGTGACATAGTTTTTTTGAAATCAATTCTTTTTGAAGAAATGAAAAAACATTAATGACTTTTGAACCATCAACAATTGGATAACCACATATACGGTTAGTTTGATTGGAAATGACCCCCTCCCTACCACCCCACTTCTTTTGATCCTCGACTTATGGGACATCCTGTATATATGTAAATCAAAAAGTATTTTCCCGGAAATAGGTTTCGAGGAGTCGAGACCTGCCCTGCTGCTGGGCATCATCGTGCGCGACAAGCGGAAACGACCGTTCTTCGCGCCCCCCGATATGCCCGTCCTGGCCGCCAAGAAATCCAAAACGGAGACCGTCGCCTTCAAGGCGGCGTCGCCCGCCCCAGCCACCCCCGCCGCCCCTGTCGCCCCGCCCAGGTCGTACACGCCGCCCCCCGTCAAGGACCCCAGGCTGAAGCAGCCGCCCAAGCCGGAACCGGAGCCGTCTCCCCCTGACGAAGGAGGTGAGCAAGACACGATAATAATAGATATTTATATATCAAGGGAGGAAAGGTATCCATTTCCTCACGCGTGTGACGTTTGCAAAGCTTTTGATATAAATCATTATGTATTACAAAGGTATTCGCGGTCGCCAAACGGGTAAAAATTCTAACTCCTGGCATAGATTGAAAGTTACACATGTTTTCTCGCAGTTTTTAATGTCATCGCAACGTCATCCCTATCCCTAGAACGATTCTAAAACTGTTTATCTAGTCACTGCATAGAAAGTTAGCGTTGGCTCCCTCATTTGAGGACACAAACCTGTTAATTTACTCCCACGGGTGGAAAAAAAAAATTACCTCCCGTAGGAGGTAAAATAAATTGGCTTCAGCATGCCTCCTTGGTAGAGATGTACACATAAGATTTGTGCTACCCAAGTACCTAATCAGTGTGTCCATCACTACCATAAAACAAATAACAATTTCATTTCCCAATGATCTCATATACACCTCCTCTTAAAACACTCAATCGAAACTTTAAATAAAATGCAATAATTACATCACAATAAACTAATTCAATGTGACAGAAGTGTCAATGTCAAATTGATTTTCGTTATGTAACCTTAGATCATGTATAACCTTAGTTCATGTAACACATTGATTTGGATCGAGACACGAGAGATAGTCCGCTTGAAGCACAATTTTAAGAAGGACACTCTCAAATATACAGGGTGGGTCACGGTGGATGGCCTAGTAGAAGTATCTGGAGAACGAAACGAGAACATTCTGAAAATTGGGATGCTTTGGTAATTGAACATTCGAGGTCGACGGAAAATAACCATTATTCTAAATGTTTGCAAAGTATACTTTTGCTTGTAGACGAACCTTACAGTCCGGAAGATTCGGACCTAGAAGCTCCGACGATTCCTGTATCAAAATTGCAGACGGTCCTTCCGGTACAAGAATCTTCCGTAGTGGAGGTCCCTGTGGTACCACCTTTTCCCATACCAGGTCAGTCCGAAATACAGTCCATACAAAAACTTATATAACACGCTTTCATTGATAGCCAAACTAAAAAAAAGTAGAAAATAGTAGTTGAGAAAACTAAAGAGATGGATTACCGAACTGAAAAGAAGTAGAAAATGAATAGTAGTTTAAGAAACTAAGAAAACATGCTTTAATGGTTAGTCAAACTAAACAGAAGAATAAAACTGAGTTGTTATATATTCAACTGAAAAATTATTTCTAGAAATAATGTACATAGGAAAATAACGTTTGCTGGGTCAGCTAGTATTTTTTAAAACTGATTCACATCATTACTCGAATTGTTCCAGTCTCACAGTACAAACCCCAATTATACTGTAATATTGTGCAGCAGGAGTTTGACGAAGAAATAAAGTAAACTTTTTGTTGTTTAGGTATTTCTAGTGGTCTCCCATCGAGCACGCTGGAAATACAGCGGCAGATGGAAGAGTTGAACAAGAAGATCGAAATGCAAAAGTCAGAAATCACGAGTATGACGCAAAACATGGCGTCTGCTGCCTCCACCTCTAAGGACATTGGCTCCACCAGTTTGGCAAACATTGCTTTGCCCAGCAATCTTCAACAGATCCTCGACAGCATCAAAACTATAGGAGACGTAAGTTATCATTCCAATTTCGACTGTTCTAGCATTGCAATGCTGCAGATATGGCTGTTTTTTCTGCACCAGTTGAGCCTCAAAGCCACCAATATTCCAACACATGAATATATTGGCATATATCACCGGTCACTTGTTTCTGGTCTGGTTTACTTTTCTGTACAATATTTCGGTCGATTAACACGTCGCTTCTTCGATCTAAAACATAGTTGGTATTATATCTCAAATTTAAAATTCATTGAGAATTACAATCATGAAAGTTACATGGAATAAGAAACTGAAATATTGATGAAAACTTTTTCAAATTCCTTTGCTGGAACGCGACATATTCTTCTATTGCTCATAAAATGAGCGGATCAGATAGCCAACAATTTTCTCCTAAATGAGAAACACTGTATATACCTAACCCATCAGGCGCCTACCCCAGTTGCAACGAGGGTTTACCGATGCCAAGGGTTGATACTCTCCCCTCGTAAGGGTACCTGTCGTGTCACCATTGAGACTTAAAGGTGACTATCAAAAAATGTTCTATGATATATCGCCTTCCATAACATATAATAAATTTGGAAGAAATATTCGAAATGAATTTACTATAATTCATGAATAGGAATGAAAATCTTATCACCGGTCGCTTGTTTCTGGTCTGGTTTACTCTTCCGTACAATATTTCGGTCGCTTCTTCGATCTAAAACAGTTAATATTATATCTCAAATTTAAAATATATTGTGAATTGAAATCATGAAAGTCACATGGAATAATAAACTGAAATATTTATAGAAACTTTTGTAAGTAAATTAGCCATAACAAACAGAGCATTGGGACTACACAATCAAAGATCACTCACTCAAGCCCGTCCACACTCTTCAAAATATGCAAATGTGACGTTACACTAAGATGTGCGATGGCTGGGCAGCTACTGAATAGAGTATGAAAAGTTGTTGTGAACCTAGATTCCTTTTTTCAGAAGCACATCCTTTAGTTTTCGAGCAAATGCTTCTTTTTATAAATAAGAAAAGAGTTAATCTTTTCATTGCTTCATTTTTTGAAAGTAAAAGGTGATGCTTCTTTTTATGAATATGGACTAATATTTCGTGTTTCCTGTTTGGTTTCCCTGTATTATTCTCTTCCGAATCCGTCGTGTAAATCGTTCCGTCTGTCCATATAGGGCACCGACCACCCTCCCCCTACCGCCGCCTCTGCGCAGCTGCCGCCCCCCGCCTCCGGCGACCTGACCATCCCCCTCATCATCCCCAAGAGTTTCACGCGGCCGCTGAACATGAGCGTGCCGCCGCCCCCGCTCGGCGTCGTCCTGCCCGAGCTGGCCTGCCCAGTCGACACCATCCCTTTGAACTTGCCCAAGGGCAGGCAGCCGCCGCCGCCCCCCGCGATGGGCGGGCCGGAGGAGAGGGCTGGTGTGCTCAGCTCGCTCAGCGAGGAGCAGCTCATACAGAAGGCCAACGAAATGTTGCAGGTGAGAACTGAATATTCCTGTCGATGTCATTCGAAATGGAAACCTAGTTAGTGAGCGAATATGCCTATCGATGGCGCTAGTTTACCGAAATCATCGAGAATTCATTTGTTTCAATTGGTTTCAATGGCATAATTGTCAAAATTAACAATTTTAGGTTCAAGTGTTCAAAACGCTACCTCAGACAAATTATCATTTTGATTTGATTGTCTAATTTCAAGTTAGTTGTCTGTGTAAAACGGCTTGACTGATTTCACTAATTATTTTTTTGTTGTGTTTGTTATTCCCGATAGAAAATTAGGGTACGCCTCCTATCGGAGTTCTTGAAAGCTGTCGAAGCGGCCTGTTTACTTTGTTTTCATTGGTTGACATTTGTTTTTTGTTTGTGCTTATTGGTCACATCGTCAAAACAAACCGCTCAGAAGTGTTCAAGCTGTTGCCGTGAGGTGGAGCGACGTGTTATCTTCTATCGTGAATTACATTCAATGAATCTTCAGAATAGAGGTCACTCTAGCTCACTGAAAATGTGGTAATTATGGTCGATCTCCGTTTTTTTTTCAATGAACAGACAGGTGTCGCGTCAATTGGACGTGGAAAATTGGACGCACGACTATTGGTCGCAGTCAATTGGACGCGGCGACAATTGGACGCGGCGACAATTAGACGCGGCGTCAATTAGACGCGGCGTCAATTAGACGCGGCGACAATTAGACGCGGCGTCAATTAGACGCGGCGACAATTCGACGCGGCGACAATTCGACGCGGCGACAATTGGACGCATGCGTAAATAAAAATAATTTTATAATTCCAATGAAATTCATTGTATAAAATATGAAATACTGATGAGCTTATATCCATAATTATAAAAAATACCTATGGCCTCGTTTGACAATTATTATTTTCCTATCTCATATCGTAATATGAATTTACGATACGAATATAGTACAATATTTTACCTACTACCAAAAACGCTGATTATTTAATCAAATATGAGGGTTGGGTTAGGTTAGGTTAGGTTAGGTTAGGTTAGGTGTTATATTATAGATATGAGCCCTGCATATTCCATGCAATAAATTTCATTGGAATTATAAAATTATTTTTATTTTCGCATGCGCTCAATTGTCGCCGCGTCCAATTTTCGTGCGTCCAATTGACCACGTCCAATTGTCGGTAATCCGAACAGACAATATACCTCGCCTACTAACTAGATTCTCATATAGAATGACAATGTTCCTGTTGCTGAAGCCATCAATGCAATGTGAAAGTTGACTCACATTGATACTCACAACCAAAACTGACAGTTTTCTGAGGAATATTGACTGAATCATTCAAGTGGAATGTTTGTGGTTTTAGGATCAGGAAGGCAAAAGCAAGAAGAGGCCATCCATAGAAGTACAAGCGTCAGTGAAGAGGTCGAGAAATGAGGTTAATCTACCACCTGTACCTGGGCTGGAAGATGATGCCATTATTTAAATAGTTTGACTATCTCATTCTGGAATATGATTGATGATGTCTGGTGACATTCTTCTCAAAGATACAGCACATACTTTTAAACGCAATTATTTTCATGAAATCTTCTTTGGTCACATGAATGGTATTGAATTAATGTACAAATATTATAGTAGGTATAAACCGTACTTAGTACTTCACAGAATATTGAAATAGGACCGAAATGAAATAGGTTATTCAATCTATAGGATCATATACCTTTATCAAGAATATATAGGCTTCTATAAATTTGAAATTTAGAAAACTTTTTCCTATCACCTTCTGAATTTGATTCACATGTGCAATTTGTTTGTGAACCCCATACCAAAAAGATCCTCTTAAATGGACACTTGCTGAAATTTTTATTCTGATGGGCTTTAGCCTTTCATGAGAAGATTGTATCAAACAAATTTATATATAAAAAATAATTCTGTACAGTCCTATTGTTATAAAATAGAAAACTAAAAGTTTAGGTTATACTAAAGTAGCAAACATTTAGGAACATTATTAGCATCTGTAAATATTTTCAATTTTAGATAGAATTTTTTTCTTGTTATCAATTAGCCAAGATCTTTCAAGGGTCCACATGGGTAGATATTTTTCATTTTACATTCTTTTTTGTTTGTATCATATAATTTTTAATGCTTAAAAGTAGTAAGTAAAGAGAAAAAGTGTTTACACAGGTTAGTTTATTTTTTACCCTTCCACAAAGACAACCTCTTCTCTGAAGAAAGCTCATTATTAAATTATATTTCAGTTAAAACTTAAAATACATGCTGTACCAAATATATCTGTTATATCTGTTCATGTGTGTAATACAATAATAGATAGAGGAATGATCCTATATAATTTCTAATCAACTATTCATGAAGTGAAAATGATATTTTTCATAGTTTTTGATAACATTGATGATTTAATAAAATACATATGCAGTGTATTGAAATAATTGATGAGATGAAAATGTAGTATTCAGTCAGTTCCAAAATATCTCTGGCCAAAATGATTTGGAGCAACAGGATGTACCTCAGATGTTAGAATTTTCATCTGAAATGAATATTTAAAGGTCGTCATCAAACCCTCCAGAGTAATCAAATCATTATTACCTTTGGATATGAATCTAAGACTGTCTGAACTGCTTGAGGGGTACAAAACAAGTTGCTGAGGATAACACATTCTTCCCTAACACCATGTTCCTTCAGTACATTAACTGCTTTACTGACTGTATTTCCAGTTGACATAATTGGATACATCAGCAACACCTAAAAGAATGAATTTGAATTTTAGCTATACTTTGATGTTCATGTAAAAGTGACACTCACATGCCTCTGGGAAATATCTTCTGGAAATCTTGCATAAACCACTCTAGCTTCATGTGTGTCAGCATCAGACTCTACCAATATTTTTCCGATTCGAATGCTCCGACAACAATCCCTGAGTCCTTGTTCCATGGATTCCCCAGATCGGACAATAGAAACTCCACAGTTTCCGGATTTATATTTGAGGCCATCATAAGTTGCCCCCGTCGGTGTGACAACCTTACAATCTGTAAATGGCAACTGATTCAAACTATCTTCGATTACTAATCGAATCAACCGATCGGAGTAGAATTTGAAGTCACTTCTGGAGGTGTTTCTAGATAGAACAAAGTTGTATACAGGAAAAATACAGTGGAATTGAATCAGTACAACTTACTTGTCCCGTAATATGGTTTGAAGTTCCTTGATTTGATCATTTGAATCTAAAACACATAGGCTCTTGTATTTTTTGCAATATTCGTTGTTAAAATTATAGTTTATTTGGATATCATGATTATCCATAGTTTTTGAGCGAAGGCGAAATGTTAGGTTATAATAAGCTTCTTCTTCTTCTTCTTTTCGGTTTGAATGGCCATAGTTACTAGGACTATCTCAGTATTTGGGCAAGGTGCTATTGACAGTTGACGTGACGTCAAACGGTGCCATTTTGAATTTGAAAATTTGATTTGAAGACGGCTGTGATTTTATCAAATCATAAGTTTATCAATAAATCCAAAATTATATTTCGGTAGAAACACAGTATATTATACTGTTACTGAAAATCCCGTGAAACAAAACTCGGCATCGAATTTACAAGATAACGATTCTTGAGGTTAAAAATTGTACATGGGTCGCACTAAAAGGAAAAGGTCTAGAAGGTTTCCAGCAGAATCAATTGTGAATAATGATCAATCAATTATCAAGCTACAGAAATGGATGGTGAGAAATGGTTGGAAAAACGAACAAAAACTTATCCTGAAATCTTTTCCTGGCACAGGCAGAGGACTGTCTTCAAACCATACAATTCAGCCAAATGATGTTTTGATAACTATTCCTTTTGAGTTAATGATCACATATGGTACATTAAAAGATGATTTACTAGGAATATTATCTCCTGGAACCAAGTTAACTGTGCATGAACTACTTTCCCTATTCCTGGTGTATGAATTCAATAAGAAAGAGACATCTCCTTGGAAATATTATATTGATAGTCTGCCCCTAGAGACACCTCATTTACCTTGGTATAACTCAACTAATGAATTACATGCACTTGGCAAGAAAATGCATGATACATTTATGAACAGCTTTGAAAAGGTGAGAGCTTCAGTCAGGAGAAAAGTGATTGATCATATTGGATTCAATGAAAATATTTATAAATGGGCTTATGTAATGGTTAATACAAGGGCAGTTTATGTGGATCCCAACCTTGTTGGTAGAGGAAAATGTTTGCTAGATGAACCATGCTTGGCTCTCTGTCCCTTCTTGGACATGTTCAACCATCACTTCTCTGCCAGTACAGAAGCTACTTTGAAGAATGAGGATGGCAGATTGGTCTACCAGCTGAAAACTCTGAGTGCATTCAAGAAATACTCACAGATCTTCATTTCATATGGTAGTCACAACAACATCAAGCTGTTGATGGAATATGGCTTCTTCATTCCAAAGAACATCTATGATGTGATAAAGTTCACCTTCTCAGAAGTATTAGCAGTTATTGATATGGACTTGAGTCAAGCAAAGTACAGGTATATTTGTGATCACCTATTTACTGATGATTTGTATGTGAGTTTAGATGGGCTCTCTTACAATTTGAGAGCAGTTTTGTTTGTTGGGTTATGTGGAGATGAAAGAAATTTCAATTCAGTAATTTTTAGTGATACTTATCCTGAACAGTTCATCAGCAAATTACCAAAATTCATCAACATTTTGTTGGACTATAAATCAAATATATTTCAGGATCAATATAATGAATTGAAATGTACAAAAGCTAAGGAAAGTGAACTGGTAGAGCAATTTCTTCTGTACAGAATAACTTTTCTATCTGATATTAAAAACAAGTTTGTGGTGGATATATGTAGGTAGGTATTTGATTTATGTAATTCACTAAGAATCAAAGTCAATAAATTTATTTAACTGATTAATGTTTAATTTGAATTCTAAACTCTAAACTAAACTACTTTTCAGGGTAAACTAGAAAATCTCAACCTCCTCTCCCTGTGAAGTGTCAGATGATAATTTTTCAAATTTTCCTCATGAATAATTCACTATCATACAGTAGTTATTACTCTTGGCAGATTATTATTATTATTGATATCAATGATGATTTCATCAATAATTGCCATTATTCCACTTGTTACATATTGCAAAATATTGTTCACCTACTCAATTGGTATAGGATAGTAGTGAAGAAGATTAGTATCACATCTCTGTTGAATCTAGACTAACTGAATGGTTATACAGGGTGTCCGCTAAAAGGAGGTCAATCCATTAACCATATATTCCTTGAACAAAAATAATATGAGTATCTGTATACCATTTTTCATTTTAGCCTTTCATATTCAATTATAGGGTGCCAAAGTTGGAAATTAAAAACTGTTTTTTTTTCTAATTACTCGCGTATTTAATGAGATATTAATCTCAAATTTGGTACATTACTTCAGAACAAAGAGTTACATTGTGTGAAGGAAACAAAACAGAAAATAACTGTCAAATATTGAAAATACTGGGGGTCAAGTACACACTTACCCCCATATTTTTTTTGTACGTGCGCTAATGACTTCCTATCTATTTTTCTTCAAGTGTTCTATCATTTTTGAGTATTTTTTGTTTCCTGTAAAATTTCGATAAAATTATTTGTTTTTAAGATAATTCCCAAAGTACTGGTTATTGTTTGATGCCTATGCGTCTTATGGTAATCTCATAATGTTCACATACTCCTATTTATTTCGTCGAAATTGGAAGAGGGCTTATCTTTTTATGTACTTTCGTAGGTAGGTAAGTATGGAAATACCGGGCGCTCAGAGCGAATGTATTAAAATAATTTTACCACTTTTTTATTTTTTTTTAATTTTAGTACATTTGCTCTGAGCACCCGGTATTTCCATATTTACCTTTTCGTACGTAAAAAGTTACGCCCTCTTCCAATTTCGACGAAATAAATAGGAGTATGTGAACATTATGAGATTACCCCAGTATTTTGAATATTTGACAGTTATTTTCTGTTTTGTTTTCCTCACACAATGTAACTCTTTGTGCTGAAGTAATGTACCAATTTTGAGATCAATATCTTATCAAATACGCGAGTAATTAAAGAAAAAACAGTTTTGAAATTCCAACTTTGACACCCTGTATATCAAATATAAAGGGCTAAACTGAAACATGATATACAGGGTGATTCAAAAGTAAGCGGCATCCTTTCAGAGGCGTATTCCTTGCATGAAAATAAGGCAAAAAGTTCCTATTGATAAGGATCCGAAAATGCTTCCTAAGGGAGCTACGGCCCTTTGAATAGGACACCTCAAAGACGGTTTTTTCTCTATAACTTTAAAATCCTTCACAACAAATTTTTAAAAATTGGTGTACGGCATAAACATTCGATGGTAAATAGGACTCCGTATTCGAAATAATTTCCAAACGAAATCACAGTAACCTGAATATCCGGAGAAGAAGGGATATTTTTACACTTACCCTCTCCCGCATGTGACGCCCCTGAATGAAATTCTGAAATTTCGAATACGGAGTCCTATTTACCATCGAATGTTTATGCCGTACACCAATTTTTAAAAATTTGTTGTGAAGGATTTTAAAGTTATAGAGAAAAAACCGTCTTTGAGGTGTCCTATTCAAAGGGCCGTAGCTCCCTTAGGAAGCATTTTCGGATCCTTATCAATAGGAACTTTTTGCCTTATTTTCAAGCAAGGAATACGCCTCTGAAAGGATGCCGCTTACTTTTGAATCACCCTGTATAGAAACACATATTGTTTTTGTTCAAGGAATATGTGGTTAATGGATTGACCTCCTTTTAGATGACACCCTGTATTCATTCAATCTTGATGGAGCTAAATGATGATTCTACAAAAATAAATGATTTTCTTGCACAATTTCATTTCAGGCTGGATTTGTCTCTGACTAATCAAAAAGTAGTTCAGTTAGGCTGAAGTGATCAGCTGTGGTCTGTAATTATGTTGTGCCACTGTGGCAGTCACCATCTGTCTTTCAATTTCCTCATGTTTTTTCACTTGGTTCAGTTTTGCCATTCTCATACTTTCAGCTGTTTCATTGGACATCATGTCAATGAATCGCCTCTGCTGCTCCTTCAGTGCTGCCAGCTCCTCCTCCTCCAGAACTTCAATGAGGGCCTGCTCTATGGTCCGTCCCACCAACACTTCTATCACAGGCTGCACTTCTTTTTCAAAATCATACAGCTGAAACAAGCCGAAACATATACCAAGGTAACAAATTCACAATCATTCATATTACTTATTCATTTATTGTACAGGGTGATTCACCATAAATGTCCCCCCCTCTAGCTCAGTTATTTTTGAACCGATTGCGAAATTTTAAATATCATCTGAAATGATTTTCGATAGAGTTTTTTTCCGCTACATCAGAAAATACAAGGTGCTCGGAACAAAGGATCTACAGGGTACTATTTGATTTTTCAAATGGAACACCCTATTTTGCATTGTATTTTAAGATTCTCTCTGAAAAGCTGATTTCATCAATGTATCACACTTGGGGTCTAGCGAAAATGATTACAGAGATACAGGGTGTTCAAAATCGAGATTTTTCAACTTGAGGATTTTTCTGTGACAAAACTATTCATTATCGGTCAAAACGGTTTTCATGTCCGTATCTTAACTTTTGATTTACTATCTACTAACATTTAATAATTGGAACAGATACAGGGTGATCAGAATTCTGAATCTTGATCCACACTGTATATATTCCAATTAAATGTCAGTAGATAGTAAATCAAAAGTTGACATAGCGACATTGAAGCCGTTTTGACCAATAATGAATAGTTTCGACACAAAAAAATACTTAAGTTGAAAAATCTCGATTTTCAACACCCTATATCTCTGTAATCATATCCGCTAGCGCTAGACCCCAAGTGTGATGCATCGATGAAATCAGATCTTCAGGGAGAATCTAAAAATACAATGAAATACAGGGTGTTCCATTTGAAAAAATCAAGTAGTACTCTGTAGATCGTTTGTTCCGAGCACCCTGTATATTCTGATGCAACGGGAAAGAAATTTCTGGGAAATCATTTTAGATGATTTTCCAAATTTTTGAATCGGTTCAAAAATAAGTGAGCTAGAGGGGGAGACATTTATGATGAATCCCCCTGTACAGTTGAAGTCCTGGAATACACCAAGCCAAGTACTGCATGAGAGAAACATAACTAGAAAAATTGATGTCAGAGCTGGATTCATGCATTTCAATCTTTCCTTTTAGTGTCAATCAAATAAAATATATTCAAGAATTCACATGCAAATACAAGTCTTGTTGGTGGAAAACTGAAATAAGCTCAATCAATTTTGTTATCAATAGTACTAAAAAAAATGTACCATCCTGTGGGTTTTAAAGTGTTATGACTTGCAATTAATGTATACTAACTTATCACCTCAGTGTACCCACAAAATATCAGAACTATATATCAACAACATTGAAATGTTTGAGATTTTTATTGAAAAAATGTAAATTTTGATGCCCTATATCTCAGTAATGAACCATTCCAGAACATAATATGATCATAGAAAGAAATAATGGTATTTTTATTGTGACATGGTGTTTTGCCAGGACTTTAGATGTGAATAGTTTGCCAAGAGTGCCATACACCATTTTTATAGTTGTTATGGCACGTGCACACATTTTAATGGTCATAAAAATTGATAATATTATAACCAAATAGTATTTGGCAGACTATTCATTTCAGCTCTAGAATTTATCAAAAAAGAACAAACTCTTGTATGCATTGTGTCCAAGAAGGATGTCTATCATGGAGGTATTTTTTATTTTTTTTTCTGACGTTATTTAGGAAAACATTGAAAACAAATGACACTTTTTCATTGCCACTTTTTATGCTCTACAAAACAGCATTGAGATATCATTTGTAGGACATTTTGTTTTGGAGAAACCATCATCAATTCCACCCCATGATAGATAGACATCCTTATCTTGGACACACCGTTTATTAACATCCCAAATGATATTCAGGAATGTTTTTACTTGATGAGTATTTTTCATATTTTGGTTTGAACATTTTGCTACTATTGTGGAGGAAATAAATTGCTTTAAAAATCTATTACTGGAACAGATAAGATCCATATGGCTTACATCTCCAGGATAAATCTGTGTTTCTGCATCACTTTTCAATAATTCATTGGGTCCAGTTTCGCTTTTTTCGGTTTGTGTACCAATATCGGCTAATTTCAGATCAGCAAAGGTCTTCTGAACTTGATCTATACTGTATGTTTCTATTCCTTGAATTGCCTGAGAGGGACTCACACCTATTTGTGATGATTTGAATTGTTGATTTTTTGCTCTTTTTCTGGCCAAGGATCGTCTTTTCGCTTCACTCGCCCGGGATCCAATTTCGGTATTCACCTATACAAAATTCGGTTTGAAAGTTACTTATTATACAAGGAAAAAAGTAGTCGATTTAGGGAGACAAATAACCATTAGCTAAAATCTAATATTCTTCTGTGTATAATACACTATTTTTTCCTGTGACAGGAGAAAGGAGGAATCAATATTGAGAAGATAATACCAGAGATTTTACACTCTGATATTACATAATATTAAAATCAGCTTTGAAGTTTTGAACAGGAATTACACCTGCATTACAGGCATCTTCATCATTCTTTTGTAGTAATCAAATATCTGGCAGTCTAATTCTGTGGTTTGATTTTGAAAAATTGCGAACTTTGTGATTGTTTATTAGTAATTCAAGTATCGGCGAAGTGGAATGGAAGATAAAAGGACTTGTATTTCTTTCTCGGAGACAGTGTTATTGGTTTATTCTTCGGAACTAGCAACAACAAATGCCATCAATAGTGTATATATATGTATGTCAACAGAGATGAAATGTTGAAACTTTTTTCCTGTCACAGAAAAAAAAATTCTTTGTGCAACAAAATAAGCGTATTTTCCTAATTTTCTTTTATATGTATTCTTGTATCTCATATTATGAACAGAAATGTTTTTTGGGGTAATAAAGACAACCTAATGAGAAAAATGCAGTGATATTCACATGGATGAAAACAAAGCACATCCTTGAGGAATCCAAATCGGCCTATTTTCCGGCAAAGATAATTTAATTTATGAGAAATATACAAATACACGGTAGATGATACATACCTCATATCTAGAGAGCGTTTTGGCATATGCAAAATGAGGATTCCATTTCGGCTGTTGAACATCATAGTTATTTGTAATTTGTTACATTATCATTTCATGATTAAAATAAGAAAAAAAATCACAATGTGAGATTTAGAAACAAAAAATGAGCCGATTCGTTTAGGAAACTTATGACTTCATGTAAACTTACTTGTTGGTAACTTTGGTGGCCAACTCGTCTGTCTGAAACATTCTCATTTGATGGCGAAAATCTGTGAAGAAAATAGGTAGGTAGTCACTATCCTATTGGATATTTTTTAAAAACATTTATCTGGAAGTATTGGGCCACCCTCAATATGATGCAATCTAATAGGTACACATTTAGAATTTTTCAAAAATATCGAAGGGTTCAAGAGTTATTGCATTGTTCCTAACATCTTGGGATTGGGAAACATGCTGTATAATAAATATAATAATTTTATTTATAATAAAACAGAGATCTATTTTTGCATAGAAAATGAAGGGTGGTGAAACTACTGTAAAAACATGTTTACACAGTTCCATGAAATTAGATTGAAAAAATAATCAGCCACCGTGAGGTCAGCATGGCATGGAATAATGAAACTGGCGTTTGACACGCGAGTCGCGAACGTCTTCGAAATGAATAAATAACCCGCCATGATTACCTTTCGTAAAAACAACATTGCGGGCGTTTTCCTTGCGCCAAAACCGTCGAAACGTCATCGTATTATTTTCTTACCCGGTATTTTTTTCCTCCGTTCTGATTCCCACCACAGTCCCCACAAGCTTTGCGTGAGCTCTAGCAGCCGCATCACATCTAAAAGGTCAAGCATTATTGGAACACCCTGTGTAGTACTTATAATGAACGAAAATCTTAGAATTACTAGACCATCTAACAAACATAATAATTTTCAAAACAATATCATTCAGGCCTCTACAGCTTGTCTCATTTCAAACGCCCCTCCCTCTATATCTCAGCTATCAGTCGTGCGATATTTACCAAATTTGTATCGGTATGAATGATCATCAATATGACCAGTTCTTCAAAGACAAACATCATTTTAGACAGTGCCGTGCATTTTTATTGAAATGAATACTGGTCAGTTTCTTATTAAATCATATTAGGCATTTTTTCACAGGGAAACTGACCTCATAATATTGTTCTTCATGGTTTCAAACCCACATATGTGGATTTTCATAAGATTCCTATAAAGGGTTTCAGAAAAACAGGCACATCTAAACAGTATTTTTGCGATCGTAATAATTATTTACTCGGAAAAGGTGAGTTCAACATAAAAAAGTATAACTTCCAAATCATGATTTTCCACCTACCGGAGCCATTGAACGTTCCAAAATTCGCATTTGATTTGAAGTCACCATTTATTCGAGACTGAAAATGTAAGAAAGGGAGCCAATACTGTTAATTAGGAATAAGGTGATTTTTTTCATATGGAGGTTCTAAAGCACGAGGAACAATAATATGAGGTTAGATTTCCTGTAAAAAAATGCCTAATATGATTTTATGAGAAATCGACCCCTTTTCAGTTCAATAAAAACGCACGGCACTGTCCAAAATAATGTGTTATTCATACCACGCCAGATTTGGTTGGAATCGCATGACTAATAACTGAGATATAGAGGGGGGGGGGCGTTTAAAGTGAGACACGCTGTATATCCATTTTTTGGAAAGTATATGAATGGTGTTTTATTAAAATATCAAAGTAGATAGTGCATGTGATCAAACTAGAAGAAACAGAGTCGGATTTTTGACTAATAAATTTGTGCATGTTATTTACCTATCAAGTGCGGAAAGTACTAGTTTTCCACAAGAGTAAGGTACAATTTTTTCCTACGAGTGTTTTTGTCCATATTATTTATGAAAAAGGAAGGTTTTTTATGAACAAGATTTTATAATAATGCTACAAAATGACACATAAGACAGAATAGTTATATAGATCATTTGGTTAGTCATAAATATCCTCATATTCAACAATTCAAAAATCGTGCGAGAAAATAATTTTTCAGCACTAGAGCGGTAAAGTAACTGATCAAATTGGGTAAATTACGTTACCATAACTACGCTAGCATTTACTGTTCATTTATTGCGCGTCGCGTCAGTTTGACAATTGTTAATGTCAAAAACAGAATAAAACGGCAAATGATATCCCATCATTAGGTATCTGGAGAACTTGAATTATTTGCGAGGCAGGTATATTTAAGGAGATTGAAAAATCAACTCCAGGTTATACAAAAAGGAGTATTTCCTCCATTTGGAACCACTTTAGCAAATTTTGTAAACAAAGTTACTTTGAATTCGAACAGTCAGTGAAAAATGTGGCAGGAATATTGATGAACTACGTGCGGGAAAGTAACTTTTCCGCCCGTATATAGGTAAAATGTATTTTTTTTAACGATAATTACAGGAAATATCTCGTTATTTTAAATCCAACGTATCGCACCTGGTTTGATGAACACTCTTGGGTGGCGTCCTACTGAGTACTCTCGGTCTACTAGCGAACGCGTACAGTTTTTTTCCTTCCTTGGCTTTTTTCTGCTCGGAGTGTTGCTCTTCCGATTTTATGACGATTTCAGCAGGGGGCTCGAGAAATTGTCCCTTTTTCACCGTCGTTACAAACGGTTTTTTCGGCGCCAAGTTTTCTGTCGGAGATTTCTTGTTTTGGCGATTCGTCAATTCTTCTTTCTGCAGTCTTTTCAGTTTCAAATCTAGAAGGTATTTCTTATCAAGATAATAAGCCACAATATTGGAGTTTCCATTGAAAAATTTAGGTGCAATACAAAATCCATTATTTTATTCAACTATCTTCCAAGAATTCAACAGTTTCTCGTGTGTCAATGTGCATTGATAATATAAGCTACCGGGTGTTCATTTGAATAGTTCCCACCCGCAATATCTCATTTAGTAGACGGTTCTCGGAAAATCTCCGAGACAGGTAAAGAATAATTATTGTGAGTAAAAATCACCTTGCTCGTTTCATTCCCTTTGTCTCTACTGCCACCACACCGAAAATTTCAAATGGCATTGTAGGGCACCTCATTGAAAATACTTTTCAATTCTCTACGCCTGTGTTTCAATTTTTGAAATCGAATGATCAGTTTGCGAAATATCGAAGGAAACGTTTTTTATTGAAATATCCATATTGAATAGTTTTTCTTTTTTCTTCTATCTCTGGAACTAGTGAAAAATGCAGTAGTTTGGAGACGACCCCACCAAACTTGGCGTTGGACATTAGTTGCAAGGTTGATGCAACGAGCCTAATTATTCTAAGGTTGAACTATTCACCTAACAGTCACCGTTCACGTGTCTAGGGGATTTTCTAACAACTTTTTAGGGACGCTATTTTCCAACGTTTGCTTCGATGTTTCGCAAACTTTCATAATTCTTTTCATACATTACTAGCAGACCTCGCAAACGTTGTTTATTATTTCTATAATATATTTTTTCAGTTCAATATTCATCAAGACACTATTATTATTTTATTTTCTACTTCTTTTTAGTTTCGCTATCTACAGTGTGACCCATTTAAGATGGAAGCACCCTTATAAAACTTACATTTTTCAACCGATTGGAATGACTTTTTTTGGGTTAGGTAGATATTCAAAAAGTCTATTAGGACACCAAATATCATGAATAAATCTCCATTTCCAGGGCCAACTAATCTGATTTTTCAAGGTCAAAAATCTAAAAAAATTACTAGCGATTTTTTTAGAAAAAATCTGACTACACCACTGGATTTGTGACATTTTCAAATGGGTAACATGTAAATTACGTTGAAATGCGTCAATCAATAAAAAAGTTATAAAGGAATGAAATTTGAAAAATATGCCGTTTAATCAACCCATCAATTTTTATTACTGAACAGATTTCGATGAAACTGTGATCAGTAATATTTCAAGACATCCTGAATCCAGTGGAGTATACAGAATTTTCATAAAATTCCTGAACATGAATTGGTGGGTTGATTAAAATGAAGTGTTACACAACCTTCCATGCTATTTGAAATTTTTGACAATTATTCTTTACCTGTCTCGGCGATGTTCCAAGAACAGTCTACTAAACGAGATAATGCGGGTGGGAAGTTTTCTAATGAACACCCGGTATGTCATCAATTTTCATTAGAAACTCTCAAAATGAAATGGAATTATCTTGCAGTGCATACTATTCGAAGTAGAGAAAGTTGAAATACACAAAAAAATTATTGGATAATCATGAATTCCTCTGGAATTTTCCTATGTTGATTTATGTTTCTAAAAGTTGAAAATAATATATGCATTATGTGTAGGTAGTTACCTAACGTTGTCGTGAACTTATTCAAATCATCAATCTTCATCTTGACATCGATGTTGTTGTAAGAGTTACTGGTACTCTTCCTGATGCTTTTATCATTATTATAATTATTATTTTTATTGATATTATGGCTATTCAAGCAATCATTGGATTTAGCCACTAGTTCGCTTTTTGAGCTATCCAGAATATTGGTGTTGATTCTCCTGGTAGGGTGGACAATCACATTGGGCTTGGATTTGTCGAACGGTTTGAGAATGGGTTCTCCGATAATAGCCATGGGCAGGTTGTCCTGGTTCAGCACCTTGAAGGCGATGTCCTCTTCAGGGTCTCCGGAGGGATTGAATGGCGCAGGGGGCATTTTTTGACGGTTCTAAATATCAAGAAACAATTCATACAAATATTTCTTTCGATTTTTCAGAGCATCATTTTCGATTTTTATTACTAATTTTCAAATTTGTAAAAATAGTGACGAGTGAAGTGGTACTACAACTTTAGGATCTTATTCATGCGTTGAAAATGATTTGAAAAGTTTTTGCTCATCATTTGTTTAGGCTTTTTGTTTATTGAGTTGATTCAATATGCTCCGTTTATTTCAAAAATATTTACAACACCCTATACAGGATGAGTCAAAAACGTGTACCGAGCTTTCTGGAGGTGATTTTACTTTGAAAAATAAGTAAATAATACAAATTTCAACTGAGATTTGAAGAAATAGCAGGTTATTCGTGATGCAGAGATGTTTCTCGCTTGACGCGTTCCAAATTCTAGAATAATTTTGAGTATTGGGCAAAGATTAAGTGTAAAAGAACATTGCAAAACGAAAAATATAGATGGTGCCTTGCCAGTAAGTACGAGGCCTACTAAAATATTGTTACTGATGAATTCACCTGCTGATATCATGTCACTACAAAAACTCAAATATCTCGAGAACGGTTAAATTTTTTGTATTTTGATAAGAGTACTATTTCAAGTGATTTTCTTCAGATTCTTCTGTTTTTTTCACCGAAAAGAATACAAGGAAAAAAGTTGTCTTCAAAAAATCATGACCCACCCTATAAAAACACCATTTATAACTATAGCAGAAATGTAGAAGTAGATCAAGAAACTGTATTTCATCAACATACATTTATGCAGGAAATTTCAATTTGGTGGTTTTTACCAGTTAGAAGTTAGGCGAAAAAATTATTTAAATTTAATCAACTTTGGAAGGACACATTTCAGGTCATTAGTTTATTCATCAAACTATACTTATTTTCCAATGTTCTATCCTTTAGAAAGATAGGTACACATTTTTCACTCACCCTGTATTATGTGAGGGTGAAATTCGCAAATTATGTTTACATCCCTGCTATTATTCTTGGGAGTGCTGAATTCAATACTGTGGAGCAAAAAACTATGAAAATGGTGAACTGTAAAACTAGGACTTTTGAAAAAAATACTTTCGTTAATGGATTTGTTTTCAAGTAACTAATCATTCAATAATTAGGTATTATTGGACTCAAATTCAAATCAAATGAATATAGGAAGTAAAAATATCTAGATATCGACTTGAATTTTTGACGATATGACTAAATCCGAGACTAGATCGTCATTTACCTATTGAGGTACTTAATTGCTTTATAGATTCTTCAGAATTGACCCCTATGACCTGTAGAGGACAGGCGATTAACGTTTCATAAGAACTTTCACCTCGGCGAAAATTTCTAAATGGGTTTCAAGAGTTCACTAGAAAAATTAATATGTAGTGCATTTTCCCGCGTCTATACACCGTACCTGTTGGGGATATTAAAAAACTAACAATTGGATGTCTGCCCCATTTCGAGGTTTTTTTTCACTATTGGAATGGAAATATCATCATCGCGACGTTATAGAATGGTCGGCGTTTTAGACTGACCAATGTCCAGTGAAATAGGTGGACGCCGGTTTTATATTTTGGGTCCTAGCTGCGCATGCTTTGAGAAATATCGTGGCTATTTTCTTCGAATTGATATCGATTATTTCACGTAGAAAAGGTGTCGAGAGGAAACTAACCAGACATACATCTACTTTCAGTTTTTTATCAACGGAATTTGTACCATATATATGCAGATTGATCAATATTGCATTCGCTCCTTCCTACTTCCAAACTTTTTGCTAATCTTAAGTCCTTCTGGAATATAAACTCATCAAAATAATATGTAGGTACAATGTACAATCAACGTCTTAATTTCAATGTTCTTCAACTATCAATAACAGTGGAATAAATTTTCAATGGAGAATTCCTGGTTCTGGTTATTGAGGTTGCATAATTTCTTATAGTTTTCCATTGGCACCTTCTCTGAAATATACAGGGTGTCCCAAAAATCAACGACATCCTTTGGAGTGCTGATAGTACAGCTCATGACTGACCAGAATATCAGTATATGACATTCGTGAAATTTAGATAGTTTTGGAGATATTGTCACTTTTTGAATCTGGTGAAATCAGAACCTTTGATCAGTGATAACCCTTTTATTGATTACGATCCAAAATTTATTCCGTTTACAGTATGAAAGAGTCTAAGTGATCTAATTGAAATAAACTCGTGATTGGATTGGATTGTAATCAATAGAAGGGTTATTACAGGTTTCATAACAAAAATTAGGATCTTAAACTATAAATTTTTGTACCTGCGGCACTCGAAATACTGTTCGAAGGTTTCGATTCTAACGAAATTATTAAAAATAACAATATCTCCAAAACTATCAATACATGTTTTATCAAGCTATCTTGTGATATTCTCCTTAGTCATGCCTGGACCATCTAACAGCCCTCCAAGGTATGACGTTGAGTTTTGGGACACCCTGTATTTATGATTGATAATGAATCCATGGGATATTTCTACGCGGGATGTAATCTAAATAATATGATCAGGTGGCTGATGATTTATTGATTTCATTGTGGACCATTTGAAATGCTGATGGGTATACTTTTTTTAAGTGTTCGCGGTTCTGCTGAAGATAAATACGTTCTGTTCTGTATTTATTGAACGGTCGTGCAATATTGGGAATTATGAACGGACGTAGCAATAAAACTACAGAATGAATATTTAATTAGATTTGTTTCCAAGTATATTAGGTAAGTGTAAGTAGACCTATGTTATTAGTAATGCAAGAATGTCACGAGTTAGTGACCCCTACTATTTCATTTATTAGTTTCCGATATTCTAAAATCCAATACCTTGTATGGATACAGAGGGTGCTCGAAGAAGTTGGATACTCAGAAATCGGATGATTAGTCCGGCTAGTCGCCGATTTGAATCAAACACCGTGTATGTGTACGAACATTATTCTTAATGATTATTTTTGCCCTTGACGATTCCTAAGAACCCCTAAGTATATAAATACAAATCATTCGCGAAGTAGGCGGAATATCAATGAGGGAAAAAATATATCCACACCCCATCTAACCTTGAGGTTCTTTCAGACTTTTGACCTTTGTGGATTTCATTAATTATTAGCATAATAATGTTTTATGTATGGGTACATATTTTCATTGGAAGGAACATAATTATTCGAAATGCTAATGGAGCGCTATCAGATTGAGGGACAATATTTATACAATTATAAGTACCTACAAATAGTTGAGAATGAAGGTACCTACCTAGGTATCTGAATATTTTAAGGGCATATGCATATACTATGTTCATAATATACATATAAACATAATATAAGAAGTGATGGATTTTTTCACTCTTTATAGGGACCATCTATTCCGAATTTTAAGTTTGGATAACGAGTCAAATTCAAGTATATGCGCCAGTGTGATTAGCGTTAACTTTTAGCGTACTTTGTATAATCTGGGGATTTATCGTAACAAAAGATGAGTTCTATTTGTAAGTGGAATATGTGAAGTGAGGGAGAAAAAATAGGAACGTTGACAAATTTGACCAATTCTGTGGTAATGACGGTAATGTAAGTGACTGTGACTGTGTATCTGTGCCATGTTGTAAAATGTGATTTCATGGTTGTTTTGTTGGCAGGGCTGTTGGTTTTTGTTTTATTCTGCATTTTGTTTCAAAGTGCTTGGGAAAAACGCTAAGATTCGATTTCTATCTCAATTGGAATTTGTAATTTGGAATGACTCTTGTGGAGGTAATAAAACTGCTTAATTAAAAAATGTTCCACATTTATTTTTTCTGTCCCAACATATTTTGGACCTCTAAAATGCTTCTGCCCTTGGTTTCGGGCAACATGAAGTATATAAAACAGAAAAACAGAAAACAGTTAATACTAAACACCCACATACAAAAATGCACTCCTAAATATTTAGAGGCGATCGGAAACAGCGATACCACCACGAATATAGCGATTCCTACGAGATTAGATACAAAAGACATTGCCACTGATATAACGTCACTAGGAAACAAATCACTCAACAGGGCAACGGGAATGGGTCCCAGACCTACCGCATATGCTATCACAAACGTTAAAATACAAGCTATTGGTAACCACTGAAAGTCTGCCATTAAAGTGGGATTGTAACTATTCCAATAAAAGCAGAAACCGAGAATAAACAGCGGAATTCCAGAACAGGCACAAGAAAAAAGCAGCAAGGGCCTTCGTCCAAATCTTTCCACCGAGAAAGACGCCACAGTGAACACACTAATTTTCACACAACCCACTAAAATAGACACTTCCCTCCCCGATAAGTTATTGGTCACTGCTTCATCGAAGATCGGTTCCAAAAATGACATTATAGCCATGACGCCTGAACAGTGCTGTGCCAAATTGACCGCGGAAGCAATCAGCAAAGCCCTTTTCAGAGCATACGTTTCAAACAAGCAGGAGAACCCCGACTTTTGTGTGTAAGTCCGAGCTCTTATCACCCTCTCCAGTTCCTCATAATCTGCTGCTATTTCCTCACTGCCTCTATCACCTCTCAGCTGTTCCAACACTTTTAGGGCTCCCTTACTGTCGTTCCGCAAAAGCAGATAAATAGGCGTTTCCGGCACTACCAGGAAAAAGAAAAGTAGGCTCGGTATCAGCGGGGCCACACACAGAAAGGTGAAGCCTTGCACCGACGTTAGAGGCCCTACTATGTAGGAGAAGAGATTGCCCGCCGGTATGGCCATTCCCATCAAACAACCGAACTTGACTCTGTTGTGGTCCTCGCAGATTTCACTAAGATAAACTGGCAGCACGACGAAAACGCCCCCCAAAAATAGAGAGAACATCGATCTGGCGACGTAATACAGGTAGATGTGTCTGCTGACAGCTACGACTATGTCGGACAGCAGCATTCCCACAGCCATGTACATCAAGGATTTCCTTCTGCCGATGGCGTCCGGCAGTCTCATGAACACCATGCCACCCAGGAAGGAAGTGAAGGCGGGCAGACCAGCCAGAATGGATATCTCGTAGTAGGTGATCTGTCTGCCCAGTGGGTTGATGGACGTGTCGTTGGATTCTAGTTTGGCTATCACCGGAGAGGTCCATACCATGTCGGTCGCTCCGGAAAACAGGATCAAATTGGCTGAAAATGTGTGTGTCTTAGAATGTTGGCTGGTGTTGTTGTTTGGGCCGGCTATATGTCATTATTATATTAATTCATACTAGAGGACATTTGAATCGGTGGACGTGACAACCACGGCGCACGACTTGTGGGCGTGGTCTTGTCATTCCTCAGCATTCAGCACAATGTTGCCAAGTCTCCAACATTCACATGATATGTTGTTATGGAGAATAGGAAATATTTGGACATGCTGGTTGCTCGAAAAAGTTAAGAATGAACTGTAACATCATGGGTTCCTCCTATTATGTTTTATTCAACGACAGGACTCTAACATCTTTTTTATAACTTGATTATAATAATAATTGGTGACTTGACAATCTTGCTTCATTATTGGAAATTGAAGATTAACTGACCAATAACGAAACAGCATAAAAACTTGAAGAAGACTAAATTCTCTAACTTTTTTCCGTAATTTCATGACTACTGCACCTTTTGCAAGGCAGAAGATTGGATTAAAAAGCATCAACACGTTAACGTAAATATCTTGTTGATATCCATATTTTCGATTCAAATGCAGATTGCTGAAATGGTAAGAACCAGTTGCATTGAGTATTTGATAGACTAATTAAATATTCAATGTGTTTTAAACTATATTGAATAAACGATGCGGTGTATGTTTAGTTCATTAATAGAAGAATACTTTGGTATTATAGGGGCCATTAATGATCAATTTCGTAGATATTAATCATATTATTATTATCTAAAAGACAAGGGTGGTATTTCAAAATAATCACATTCTGTTAATTTTTCTAAAACCTCCCCTATATATGTTATAAGTAGAAAAATTTTAATGTGTATAGGAAAATAGCTGTTTTACCTGTGAATGCGGAAAAATACAAAAAGAACGTGTCATTTTTTCTTTCATTTTGAACTGGTTTAAGTTGCTGTTCACTATTGCAGGATATGTACAAGGCTTCTTCAATATCATTTTTCATTATGTGTCGAATTTGATTGGCTTATTTTTTAAAACTGATTTAAACAGGAATCTTACAGTCCTTAACTTGAAATTTCCAGTTTGTTGGATCTGTAACAGGCATTAAACTAATAACAGACTTCATTGTCTCGTTAATCTCTGTTTCCCCAAAGATTAATTCGACATATCCTATCACAATTTCATTAACAGTGTCATCAATTAATATTTGTGTTCGCGGGAGGGTAATTCCAAGAGCTGAAAATCATATTCATGATGGCCCACCTTTAACAAGTTTAAGTTTTTTTATTCTTTTTCAGACATAAATTTTTGAAGATGGAAATGGTACGAATTTTCGCCTAAAGGAGATAGAATCATCCAGCTGGCACCACCTGCTATGCCTCAACTCTTGGTGAGAAGTGTTTTGTTTTCTATTTCATATAAAGGAATGTCAAGTAACTTGTTCTAAACACAAAATGTATCATCCTGTAGGTTTGTGCCATAAAAATATGAAATGTATTTTGATTATATGAAAACAGAACAATATTATCTCATTATTTAATAATATTTACCAAAAACTGTGATCAATTATTAATATTTGTGTTTGTGAAATGTGGAAAGTAAAAATCAGTGTATCTGATGTGTTTTTTTAATTCTAGGGAAGAACGTTGAACAATTGAGGCTGGAAAGCTTTCTCCTGGATCAACTAGTCTCATCCTTTGGTATGTTCTTATTCAGTTCTTTTTACCAGTCATGGGAATTTTCTCATTTGCAGTTGTTATTTCTATAAGTCGAAAGATTTATGTTTCTTTTTTTTGTTTCCAGGTATAAATGTTGTAATTCGGAGTAAACTGGAGGTGTCGTCCAGGATTGGTCTCAGACAATAAATCACCTTTGATTGGTATAGTGATTTGTGAAGAGTGGACCACCTGATTTCATGTTTTGGTAAGTTCTAATCTACTCTTTGTTCAAAATCTGCGATGACTGGTGTATCTCCCTTATCCACCCTAAGATTGAAATGAAAGCTCACCATTGTGTTTGACATTCACTTTAATGATTTAAAAATTGTCCACCCTGTAGACGGTGCTACTGATAATATTATTAGATTGTAACTTATTATGACATAAATAGTACAAATAATACTGTCTTGATAAACATTTCTAGATACAGAAGCGATTAAAGTAGCTGAAGCTTCTAGCACTGTGCTGTATACTAAGAAGTAATACTTGGTGAAAAGTTGAAATATCAATAATACCATTATTTTTGTGAATTTTCAATAGCCATGTTCATTTGTTCGAATGCCAAATCCAAAAGTTTGCTCCAGGATTCCAGTTGCTCTTGGTTCATAAATGAAAAAGTATCCACAAGGGCCGATTTGACGTCCTAAAAATGAAATATCTCACTGGTAATGTCTTCATAACAAAAGATTCAATATCATTCCAATTTAATTTCAGAATTCAATAGGTAAGATGATGAATATTTCTGGAAACAAAAATCAATTATTGTCGAAGGATTATTCGAAAATTGTTATTTATACACCAAGGTAGTAAAATATATCATTATTAAACAGGGACCAAGATCATATCCCGAGGGGTATAAGGCCCTATGGTAATAATATTCTTTACTACCAAGGTGTATATTGAATTTTTTTCAACACTAGCGATTTATTTCAATAATTATAGTTCTGTGAACCTGTCACTATGAAAGCACTCCTTTTCAATTGTAATTAAAATCTTGTCACCTTGACAGCATAATTTGACAAGTCGTTATTGATAAATACCTACTAGATTCGAGTGCCATTCCTGTGAATGGGTTGCGTGCAAGAACTATCAGATGACCGACCCTGGAGGAAAAACATTGAAACACAACCTCACTTTTCTTATATGTTTACAAGTAATTGAAATGGTTTTTCGCACTTATTTTGGCATAGGAATCGTATTTTTCGACAATTCATTATTTCGCTCATGCTGTTGTACAATGCACGAAAACTGCAGCAGAAGCTAGCCGAAGGAATCCTGTTGGTACATTATGATTTAAAAGTAAGTACCTACTATAGTCACTCACATATAGTTTACATTTTTGAAATTTGGTGATTTCTCTGATTTCTCATCGGAATTCCTTCTGCAATAGGAGCTAATAGAAGTACACATGAAATTTTCTAAAATAATGCAAGAAGACTCAAGAAGATCAAACGGGAGGACTGGTCTGACATGCTGACGAAAAATGATCGTGTGTGTTGTAGACATTTTCAATCTATTAGCAGTATTAGCTTGTATTGCAGAAGTGGCAGAAGGAATTTCAATAAGGAATGACAACATATCATAAAGATAACTATGTGAGTTTACTATTTACCTGAAAAATCATATTTCTTCGTCTGTCGCTGCATTTTTTGTGCATTGTACAACAGCACAATGCGAATGCAAGCTTGAATTGATGAATAGTGCAAAAAAACACGATTCGTGGTGAAAAACTATGTCAATCCTTTGATTCCTCTGTAACCAAATAAAAAAGTGAGGTTGTGTTCCAATTGTTTACCTCCAGGGTCGGCCATCGTGCACGCGACCTATTCGCGATAGAAAATAACACGTCGCCCCATCTGACGGCAACAACTTGAACACTTCTTAACGGTTTGTTTTGATGATATGACCAATAAGCACAAACAAAAAACGAATGTGAACCAATAAAAACAAAGTAAACAGGCCGCTTTGACAGCTTTCAAGAACTCCGATAGGTGGCGTACGCTTATTTTCTATCGCGAATATCGGATCAGAACAGTGCATTTGGGTTAATTAAAAAAGAGGTGGCTATGTCTTTATTGACCAGTGGTTCATAAAATGACGAAAACTACCTAGTAAAATATCTTGTTAGGTGAAAATATCTTCGCTTTCAAATAATTCATTTCCTAAGTGTGCTTATGATTTCCATTGAGTTGAAGATGTGAATACCTTCAATGCCTGACGATCAACGGACCGTTTGGCATGTGCGATTCCTAGTTTTTCGGCGATGCTATTCAACAGTTCGTGGTCATCTATTCCGCTTACTATCGACCCAAAAGAGTACACAATACTGTTACAATGTGCTTGGAATCTTTTATTTTCTGGCAAATCACTTATTGGGATATCCCGGAACGGAAACACTTGCTGGTGTTTTGGTTGAATCTCGAATAACCTGGAAAAATTTTGTCTGTAAGGTTATGCAATAATTAACAATAATATTTTGTATCGGAAGGAGGAGAAGTATCTGAAGATATTCGTTTATAAATATTTTTATCCGTCTATGGTAACAAAGGTTGAAATTTCAAACGTTTCTACGCACAATGAACTTTTTATTTTTATTCAGACAATAGATTTATAATCAGAATATCGAAGTTGATTAAAAGCTTAAGATTTCACATTGAATAAACTTTGTTTCTGAAAATAGACTGGTTAACTTTTGACTGTGTTTGTATAATAATACATACTATAAATCCCTGACTATAAATACTGATATTCATTTGTTTTAAAATTTTTCCTATCACGTATCCTTGATTTTTGCACAATATATGAACGGGCTTCTTATTAGCATATTAGTGACAATAGTGACGTAATTTTTTTCGAGAATTTTATACCAGTCATTTTCAACCAATCAGATACATTATTTCGACATTGTTACTATGGTGACCAGCAATTTTTTGGGAAATTTTTCATCCACATGAGCATGTAGACGTAAAATAAATAAGTGGAAATTTTCTGGCACATGACAGCCATCATATAAGTAGAAAATATTAAAATAATTTTGACAATTTTCCGGAAACCTAATGAGAAAATCATATGAAATCAATTATAATGTATCTGATACTATAAATTTCACTTTACTAGGGTACATTGCGGATGAATATTCACTCAATGTTTTCTTTTTAAATATAATTCCGGCATAAAATTTTCTCACCGAATCCCCCACGTACACGCAATTAGGAAATTTGTTTCGTACAAGTACATGGATTATTGAAGAAAATTCATGTTCTCAAAAACTATCCGGCAATAATTTGTTTCCTATAGGGGGATTATAAGTGAGAATCTCCATTATACAGGGTGTTTTGAAATTCGAACGCTCGACAAGAGATGCTCTCGTGATTTCATAATTACTGAGATAGGGACATATGGTCTTCAAGTGTTCGGTTTTAGAGATACAGGCTGTTGAAGTTGAGAAATAAAAATAGTTTCTAGATAACTCAAGAATGATTGAATATTTTGCATTCAAATTCGGTATATGGCATCATCTTCGAATAGATCATTTTTTGATCAGAAAGTCATTTTGGACATTTCATCCAGTGGTGCGCTACATGGGGTTGTGGTTACTTTTCCTCCCATATTTCCTACGCCACTGACGGAAATTCGATTAATTCCACTTTCTCGAATTCATTGTTCAGTTTTGTTTAAGAAATTCATCTCCTCCAACTGAGCTGAAATGAACAGTTTACGAGATATTCGACCCAAAATAGAAGTTTGCATAATTCTGATATGTTATACCACAAGTGATACTATTTTGCCGGAAATATTTGGCAATTGTCACGACAGCTTGTTGCCTAATAATTTCGCGAATGACATTGTTTATCAAAACTTTCGAGTCGTACTGATAAATTTTAGCAAACAAAAAATATCGCTGGAATACAGGAGATTCCGTGAAAATGTCGATTTTGATTATTTCTCGAGAACAATAGTGAGATATCAAGTAGTATGCATGAAATAACTATTTCTGCTTAGCAAAGAATGATATCTGAAAAGTATCTAATCTACTCACCACCAGAAAAATATTTTTGTAATTTTTCACTACTGAACGTGATGAAAAATTACTACGCAAACTTCTATTTTGGGTCAAATACCTCGAAAATAGTTCATTTCAGGTCAGTTGAAGATTTTGCATCATTTGAATAAAGTTATACAATGAAGTCAAGAAATGGAAAATAATCGCCATCAGTGGCGTAGAAAATACAGCAGGGAAAGTTACCAAAACCCCCAGTTGCGCACCACTGGATGAAATGTCTGAAATGACTTTCTTGTCAAACAATGACCCATTGGAAGATAAGACCATATACCGAATCCGAATGCAAAATATTCAATCATTCTTGAGTTATAGCGAAGAAACTATTTTTATTTGTCAACTTCAACATCCTGTATCTCGAGAACTGAACAATTGAAGACCGTATGTTCCTATCTCCGTAATTATGAAATTACGAGGGCAAGCGTTGTCTGTCGAATTTCGAAACACTCTGTATGTTCTGTTAGCAAAGATCCTAATGATTAGATTTTTAATGATTGATTACATAGGTACTCGAGTTTCTTGATTATCTACCTATAGATAGGTTTTTCATTGAGTATGAAATATTTACTTCGTTAATAATGAATCGGGATTCAGCTCTGTTTATAATAATTTAACAAGCAGATGGATATATTTTGCAATATTTACATAATTTACCTTATGAACAATTTGATTCCATTGCCAGTGGGGTCTTTCATTACAATTTCCCAGCTCGTCCTGATGAGGTATTTATCTCTGGAAGTGAGTCCCGTATGTGTATCGGGATCGTCGGTTCGTCCTGTATCCACCCCATGACCCGTCCACCCTCTCACCATATTCCACATCCAAAGTGCCATCCTTTGATCTTCTGATATCTGAAAATTAATATAAACCGACAAATCGAGGAGTGTTCTTTATCACTTGCAAGTTGCGAGACAGGAGAAGGCTCATTGAATTATCTCAATTGGATGCGCTGCATTCAGATTATTATTGGTATACACTGTTTTACATCTGAAGTGGCCAGTTGCAGTTGATCAAATTATCAGGGCATATCGCCACAATCAGCACAAGAATATTTGATTTTCGTATTAAATCTGATAATATACAGGGTGTCCCGAAATTACATAGAAATATTTCAACCGCGGATTCTAGGAACAACGGTAGTAAAAATATATATAGCCATCTGTGTTGAGGTAAATAAATTTTGTACATGCATATTACTTTACATGCTCGATTCGAAAATGTTAGAATTTTCCGAAATTTCGATCAGGACCGTGAGAAACAGGTGGGGCTAGGGACATTTCTTTCCCCAACTTTTTTTTTATGCAATTTATGGCAGTTTGACCAGGATATTTGAAAATATGATCATTTTTACCTGAAAATAATACTCTTGTTTAGTTTCGATAGCACTCACCATTTTCGAGATAAATTGATTTCAATAGTCTGCTGCGTAATAAAAATAGTAATTTTTCTTAACAGGCTACTAACCATAATATTTTTAAAATTATTTTTTTTATTGTTCCTCTCATATTTTGAGTCAAAAATCACAAGTAAAAATTGAAAGATAAGGGTATTTTCTATCCTAAAATAATTTTTGGAAAAATGTGGTACCCTATTATAACGAAAAAGCACTATTTTTGTTAAGCAGCAGACTTTTGAAATCGATTTCTCTAGAAAATGGCGAGTGCTTTCGAAACTGAACAAGAGTATCATTTTTAAGTAAAAATGATGATATTTTCATATTTCCTGGCCAAACTGCCGAAAATTGTGGAAGAAATGTCCCTAGCCCTACCTATTTCCCATGCCCCCGATCAAAATTTCGGAAAATTCTTAACATTTCGTAATTTCGTTATCTCAACACAGGGGAAATATTACCAAAAATCATCATCTTCAGATGTAAATAACTTCCCAGGCCAGGGGGGCATTTCTCGGCTGATTTTTTCTTTTTTTGTTCCTAGAATCTGTGATTGAAATCTTTTTGTGTTATTTCGGAACACCCTGTGTATTTCATATTCTTGAAATTTTAAAATATCTTAGAGAAAACCTATTATGTCCATACTTATATTACTAGAAATATATTATATTGATTTAACATTTTTATTATGTTCCTGGACTTTACACTGAAACGACAATTAACTCATGTTTCATTGGCAATAAGTTTTCTATGAATTGTGATGATAATTTAATATACTCGAAAGATAATATCGATTTCACAATACAGGGAATATAAATAAAAACGATACTCATTGAATTATCAATAATTTTTATTGAAATAAAAATAAAAATATACATTCAATCTACTTTCAACAATGCCAAAAGTAACTATTGTCTATAAGTACAAAAATTCTCTGTCAATAAACTGAAACCGTTATACAAAAACATGCATTAATAAGTATCAACTTCCTTCTTCACTTCATAGCCCCTGTTATCACGTCGAATGCTACTTTTAGGGTTTTCTTCCATGCGTCCATTTCTTCGGGCTTCATAAACGAAGAGAACAGTTCTATTATCGTGTCTCGGAGTTGCTAAAAAAAAAAAATCAACGATTGGAAATTTAAAAATAATGGTCGACTGAAACTATTCAGGATGATGAAGTGTGATAGTGTGAAGTGTTAACATTATATTCACCATGAATAGTTCTTTGGTGACTTTTCGAGGCACGTGGGTCTCCCCGAGTTTCGCCAGAATCGGTACCAAGATATCTGGATCGTCAATGGCGTCCACTACAGCGGAAAATCCGTAGATGACGCTGTTGCAGTGCGCCTGGTACCTCTTATTCTGAGACAATTCGCTGTCCGGTACGTCTTTGAATGGGAACAGCTGCTTGGCTTCCGGATGATTCTTGAAGTACCTCAAAAATTCACAAAATTTATTCACTTTCAATTTATCAAATATACGCACATATTGAGCACATTGATATATTTGTCCATTTCGTTGGAACGCTTTGTATGATATTACTCGTATCCTTCACTTTACATTGATTATTTAAAACGCAATACTTGGCTATTTATGATAAATGACGAAATGGCAAACGTAGCTAATTGATAATCAAGGGAAATGCACAAATCCATTTTATTTCTGTCTATTTTCACAGATGATCTTTAGCTAAAACAAACAAGACTTTATCAATATTCGTCTTTCTGAATGATATAATAAAATTGAAACGAATGAATAATTAATTATTTGGTGACACTAATAAAAGACAAATTCGAGAAAAAATACAGAAATAAGGTTCCACAAATCCATACCAAATAACCTAGTATCCAATTGACAAATCATTTCATAGCAAACTATATACAGGGTGATTCAAGTTTTGAGGCACAAACTGTAATGGGAGATAGATCTCATCATTTCAATCGGATAAGTTTATATAAACATCAGTCCGATCTCGTCCAGAAGCGGAGCTACAGGGGGTCAAAGTTCAATAATTTTGTTCTATTAATTGAAATATCTCGCTTACTTCTTGAGATTTCATTTTGTTCATAATTTGATGTTCGAAGATTCGGTCGAAGATAAGTTTACAGCAAATTACAGATTGTCCCATAAGAAAGGTCTTAGAAGAGGCATTTCTAAAAATAGTTTCTTATCATTATTTCTAAAGCGTTTCGGATAAAATGATGAAATTATGTTTGCCTCACTTTTTATGCTAAAAGTTGAGAAATGTGCATAGATTTTGAAATATTCATTCGGGTGTTGCATAACATTTACAAAATATGAAAAAAATTGGTATTTTGTTGATTCACGTTTTTTTATGCGAATATTATTTGTTCTGGTTCATTCTTATGCTGAGCCCAAAAGAAACGGAAGAATAATTATTTTTCATGCAAGACTTCAAACGTTTCAGTAACAATCAAAACATGTTGGCCCTCATTATGGACAGTCTTCATACTGCAATAATTCGATAATTTATATAGAAAAACTTACAAATTGAGTAATGCAACGCCACTATCAGTTGGCGTTTTCCTAACCGCCTGGTATGAACTTTTAATCAAATATCTGTCTCGAGAAGTTAGTTCTGTGACTGGATCAGGATCGTCGGTCCTTCCAGTATCCGGATAGCCTAGTAGACTCCAAATGGCTCCCATGATTGTTAATCTGAAAGGAAAATATACATGCACCTATGCATTTCAATAGGGCTCTCGTGCTTTAGGGAAATCGTCTTTCTCGTACATATAATATATTTACCTTTCCACAAATCTATTCAACTGAACTCGTTTCCAACTTAGCCCTCTCGAGTTATATCCCTTCGAGAGAACACAATAAACATTATACTTACGAGAAAAACATTTCACTACTACACTATTTGGGGAACTCGAAAATTTTCATTTTTACTCTCAATTCATGACCGATCTATGATATATCTCTATCTAGTCACTGTAATTGTGCAATGTATGCAAAGTAATTATGATGAGAAGATTTGAGATGCTATCATTCGGTTAAAACTGATGTGCATTTGAAATTGAAACCGATGAATTATCGAGGACATCGGCCCCTAAAGGTCAATGAAGATTGATTCATTCAATTGGACCAGCTATTTTTACTTAGATATCAGTATTGTGGTTTAAGAGTTTCCTGACACTGATGATGTAAACGGTATTTTTCATTGATATATTTCACTGGCATGTTCAACAAAACTGAATCTCACCTTTTTACACAACGATCGACCAAACTGCGAAAAACAGTAGACCAGTCAGCGATCTCGCAAATATATCCAAATATTCCCACTTTATTTGTTCAATATAATCTCCAGTGTTTCAGCGATGATAAATAACACCAATCATGGATTCTGTTGATTAATCTAATCTTTGTCAATAAGCAATGATTAAGCAATGCATCGATATCAATAAGTTGTCAGTAAATTTTCCGCTTATTTGTTATCAACAAAAATCCAAGAATTGTAGGCACTTATAGAAATGAACTAATTCGCGGTACAATCGGTGAAATATAAATACACAAATTCTTGAAGTATATAAATAATTTAGATCAATTAGGGCTATTAGAATGGTAGTACTATTCATATAAAATTTGAAAAATAGAATATTATGTTGAAAATTCGACTTACTCTAGAGAAACGCGGTTTCTGGTCCGGGGAATGTTGAGTCACAAGTTTTGATGTTTGATGACACTACAAAAACGGGTTTTCTGTAGTCTAAAGTCTAGAGTCTAGACCTTTATCGCGCAATGATTTGGTCACTCCCCTCTTTCTGGTTTCTGGTCACATAATCAGAGGTACGATTACATTAATCTGACCGAACCTAACCCAACCTTTTTATAGGCGCTCTACAAATACAGTTATCAACTTTGGGGTTTGGAAGGCTATTATCATTCACAAAATGCTAATATTTCGGAGAACTATGATAGTACCTCTATTATGTTCTTGAAATAGTATAGCAAAATGTTTGTGAATGGGAATACCCAACTGTTTATATAAAAGTTAACATCAATATGAGAATTATTTTGAAATATGTTGTAATATCGAATATTACTAGAATTAAAAGTGACACTTTATTGATAAGGGAATGAATAAGCCAGTCAAACAGTACCTAGAAGTGTTGACTAGCAACATACATATCAAAAATCGATAGGACTTTGCGATAATTGAAATATTTTTTGAGTTCCTTTCATAATAATATCCATATTACGAAGATCGTATATCAATTTATATGCACCTACTGACACTTATTCATTATTTTCAGATTTCCTATGGAATCATCAGTTAGAAGGTGTTTAAGGAGCAGGAGCAGGAAATAGTCATCAAAGCATTTTTCGAAAGGAAGGAGAAAATGTAGTAAGTATTTTTTTTTCTACTCACTGCATCGAACGTAAGCGTAAGGAAAAAAATGTCACCTCCCGTGGGTGAGGTAAAATATATTGGCGTTAGTTTGCTTCCTTGGTAGAGATATACATACAATATCTACGCTTAGATTAGATTAGATTTGGAATGGGGCCTTCGGGCTATCTGCCTCCACACTAGCGCCCTCTATGAGAGTCAGATATAAAAACAAATGCATGCGATGTGTCAGATTCCAAGAAACATCCATACAACATTTCATCACAATGTTGCCAGTAGTTTCAACATAATCGTAAAAAATGAAAAAAAAAATTATTTCAACACCTTGTATCATGAAAACGGATGCCGTTACGACATTTTTTCACTGAGCAAACCCAACTTATTTTGCAATGTTCTACTTACCCTAGCAAGGGGGTTAGGTTTTTTTGAAACACCCTGTATAAAAAGCTATTGAACAACTTAGGAACATCATCTCAAAGAATACTTCAATTTAATCAGGAATATAATAATAGTCAATGGTATAAATATCTTAATTGCTAATAGTAAAATCACGGTTGAAATTTATAAACCCAAAAACATTAATTCTAAATTGGACCAGAACCAGTAGGAATAATGTACATAGTCTTGTCAGTCCCTGAATATTTCTTCCCTAATAACACGTATTTACATTCAATGGCAATATTCTCCTCCTACTACTATAATTAAAAATAAGGACACACTGGGATATACAATATTTTTGTGATTTTTCACGTCCCTCTCAGGAAACTTTTTCTTTTTTGGCGGCGACGATCTCCTCTTCGTTGATTTTCTTATTCCGCTGGTTGCTCAGCAAAATTTGTCGGACTTTTTGGAAGGGCATCTCGAAGGTGAGGGTCAGCATTAGGGACAACCCTATAACCCACACGTACTCCTTGAGATTGAAGGTGCTCCAGAAGAATCCCGCCTCCGAAGAGGACCTAGTTGTCCCCACATTGAAAAAGTAGACGGGAAACTGAGTCAAGTAGACTGTGTACGAGATTTTCGTCCAAAATATGAAAATTTTGTCGGAAAATATTCGTCCTAGCAAACCTAAAAAATAAAAAAACATTCTGTAGAGACGTTAGCGAGAATTCATAAAAGTGTTTCATCATTCGACCTAGTTCGTTATTGTCGATCAATTTGACTTATAACAGTCGATCGTGGTATATACAACCAAACATACAGGGTGAACAACTAAGAACGACTGTCGGCCATATCTCAGAAACGAATAATGATACGAGTTTGAGATAGAATAAATCTAATGGTATGCATATCATTACACGATGTGATAGAGAAACTAAATCTCAACAGACCAACGAAAACCGCAACATGATAGCTTTTCGCCAACGGAAGATATTGACTTATCAAAGTTGGAAGAATGATCGATATGACAGCCGTTCTTAGTTGTTCACCGGGTACAACGCGTCGTTTCACAGATCGGATTATAACTTATGGAATTTGCATTTAAATCGAAAATTTGAAGAGCATCGAACATTTTACCTCAAAAGGATAGCTTTTTATAGAGTCACTGGATGGTATTAGTAGATAAAAAGTAATTTTAATGTATGTACCTGACAAATGTTGCATGTCTTCAAATTAATTTTCTATCCAGGCCGTTTAATACATTCATTCCATAAGATAATGGTCTTCACAATTCCCTCAATTCATTTCACAGCAGGACATTTTCATTTATGCTTTTTTTCTCAATAGTTCATTTTTTTTATCGCTTGAAGCGTACGAAAGGGAATCCCTATAATGTTCAAAGAACATCGCGTGTGCCTAGGGAGGATAGGGATAGGAAGTAGGTATTGGAATTTTTTTTGAACTTCTGGAGATTATACGTTGTTGTATGTAAAAGCGCGGAACGACTATGGTACTCTTGTCACAATGCAAGGTGTGTAACTTAATAAATCTAAACACTCAAAAACACTAACAGTTGTCATTTCTGTGTCCGAACTCTTATCTAACTAATACCATCCAGTGACTAGCTTTTCAACGTTTCTGAATCAATTTCAATTCCTGTTTTCTAACAAAATGAATTTATTTTCCATGTTAGTGACACATTCTGTCTTTGATGGCTTCTGCATGATAATTAGTAGTTCCTGTAAGAATAATGAATTCGCGAACTAGATTTTCTTCATTGTATAAGACGATTAATGATCTAGAACACTTTCATGAATCGCCCTTATTAATACACTAGTTGATTAAATAAATTGAGCAAGTTATTGAACAATATAGGGCCACCCATTTTTCATCGTCTTTCACCTTTGTATCCTAAGTGCCAGGTGAATATAATCCAGGCGAAGGAATGGCACCACAAAATGGGGGAGACTGCCGCATACCATGCGGCATCTAGGGGCTGGTACTCGTATTCGATGCTGCTCATGAACGAGGGTCCTATTATGGACACGCAAAAACTGAATAGAGCCACGGCGTTGCCCAAGTTGATTTGGAACTGAAAAAAGGCGGAAACACTGAAAGTAGAGGAGGCAAAGAGGCTAAATGGGGATTTACTCGAGCGTCTTGGGGACCTATTAGATTATAAAGATTGTATGCTAAAAATAAAAAAAATATATGATGTGACATGATGATGATGATGACATAAGGATGTTAAGTGAACCCTCAAGTAGCTCCTATTCAAAAGACTGATGATTTGGAAGCAACCAGAAGTCATGAATAATTTTTGAGAATGATAAAAAAAAATTTTGACCTTGAAATACTCGAGCGAGTCAAATTATTATGCAGACGCTTTATCTCAATGCCCTTTTTTGTATTGACCCATAATCTGACAATTATATAGAGGAATTTCCTTGATCTGGCAGTTGTATTTTGTCGTTAATAACTAAATTATGATTTTTTTCCCTAATCTGATCGGCTGCCCTAGAAGTTCGACAGCATATAAAAAGCCCAGGTATGGTGGGAGTACTTCACAAGGTGGAAGATTACCCTTATGTTATTCTTCTGCGCTCGAGTAAATCCCAAAATTCCTGCTTGGGCATAGTAAAGGGAAAAAGCATTTATAGATCCTCTTTCATTCACCATTTATCTTAATACATTTATTGCGAACTTTGAATTGACTGAGCGTTGACCATAGATTTTCATGTTTTTTTGTTGTAATTATTGATACTGAGTATTAAGTCATACTTAGGAATTTCAGTACCTTGGTCATTTGGATGTGGGAAAAGTTTCTCAGAATGTATCCGAGAAATATGCCCATTATATACACGGTGGCCCTGTGAGCTGGCAAAATGTACATGTGGTCAGCTGTTTGGAATAGTTGCTGTATCCTGAAACAAAGTCACTTGTCAACGATGATTAAGGAAAGAATACTGATTGAAATAGTTATTTGTTTTGCTAGGCAGAAAAGCACAAGATTTAATGCGGCGGCTGGCCTTTAAACAGTTCTGACAGAACTTTGGATGGTATTGTGAGCACAAATTATATTTATTGAGACAATTCAACGACCAAATGAAACTGTTGTCTCCATGTCATACCAGCTGACATGATGTTGTTATATTCAGATTCGTGGTTGCCGTGACGAAATGGTCTTACCGGCTCGAAAGGACAAAGCTTACTATGGAAGCACACCATTCTGATTGGTTATTATATTGCAGAAGATGGCAGTTTCATATACACCGTGGAATTGTCACGGCATGCCAAGAAATACTCAACTTTTCATATTGACGTTTCAAAATGACGTTATTTACATACGGGCCTAAATGACGTTGCGATGACATTCAAAACTACGGGAAAACGTCCTAACTTCTGGCATAGATTGAAAGTCAGACATGTTTTCCCGTATTTTCAAATGTCATAGCAACGTCATCTAATGACCTTGGCGACCGCGAATAATAAGAAACCGATGAATATCAAGGAGATAGATAACTCACGATGTGCCGAAATGCACGTAGTTGGACAGTCTCATCGTGTAGGAAACGTAGAACCGCATAACGGTGGAGATCGTCGCCAGAGAGATAAGAATGATACTCCCTCTTCTGGGCCATTTCCACAGCAGGTAGACTAGAAAGGGCGATACAAAAAAGAGTTGAGTATCGATGCCAACGTGGTGTGTATGAGTCAGACACTAGAAAAAAAGATCATTTTCTGATATTTATTTTGCAAACAGTTGATTTTAGGTGAAAGCGAAAGTTACATTTGGACATGATTATCTGAACACTCGGCTGTTGACAACACAATATACCTACGTTCTTGTGGGTGATTTCAAGAATCATATTTTCCTAACAAACATTTACTCAATGATTGGGCCGAAAAAATGTGAATCGCTAAACATCCTGCTATGTAATATGGGTCACTTCTTAACATGAAGAAGAGACAAAACACGATAAATCAAAGCAATTGTTGTAATTTGCATAGTTGAATAGTTTCATTCGTATTATACAGGGTGATTAAAAATTCGATGTAAATATTTTGAGGACATATTGTTGGAATCAAAATAAGACCTCTTTTTTCATAGAAGCATGTGTCCAAAAATGCACCTCCTGCGAGCTACAGCCACTGTAAATTAGATAAAAAGGAAGATCATCTGAAATTGTGGCGAAAATAACAGATCGAATCTTCTGAAAATTGGCATGTATTATAATTGTCTCATATCAACTGAGAACTGAACATTTGAATACCCTGTGAGGCTAATAGAGTGTCACTCATCATATCCTCGAAGCTATTGCATTGTATATTGCACAATTAACGATATAAAGAAGGACGCATCAATTTATCATAAAATTCTTCTAAAGAGCGTTCAGAAAATCCAGGCTCATATCGCATATTTGCAAACGAATCGAACGTCGCTCACCATATCCTCGAAGCCGAAATAGTTGTGTACGAAGAGCAAATTCCTCCACCAGTTCTTCTTGCAAATATCCGAGTGCTGGGTGACCACCTGGTGCCACAAAGGGCCGGCGTCGATCCACGGCAAGAGGAACGTGCAAAAGGCTATAAGGGCCGCGAAGGCGGGCACTATCCTGAACAGCCTCGACACGTACTCTTGCCCTACGTCGATCTTGTTCGCCCTGCGGAGACGGCCCAGCAGAGAGTAGGTCGTCAACATGCCCGACATCATGATGAAAGGGTCGGTGTACAAGCTGGCCGCCCTTCCTATCACCGAAAAGGGCCTGCCCATGTACTGCCAACAGATGAACTACTGATCAACGAAGAGATTTTCTTGTATGTAAGTTGCGTGCACGATGACCGACCCTTCAAAGGGTTGAAATAGTTTTTCACAAACGTGAACGTTAATTCATGTATGCCATCGCATTGTGCTGTTGTACATTGCTCAAAAAATGCAGCGAGAGACGAAGGAATATGATTTTTCAGGTAAATAGTGATCTCACATAGTTTTCGTTATGAAATTATGTAATTTCTCATAGGAATTCCTTCTGCCACATCTGCAATAGTAGCTGATACTGCTAATAGAGTGAAAATGTCTACAACACATGTCAAACCAGTCCTTCCGTTTGATTACACGAATCCAATCACCTTGCCTTCTTTTAGAGACTTCACGAGTATTTTTATTAGCTCCTATTGCAGAAGGAATTCCAATGAGAAAACTTTTAAAATGAAAACTAAACTATAGCACTCTTAGATCACAATGTAACCTGAAACATCGGATTCCTTCGTCTCTCGCTGCATGTTTTCTGCACTGTACACCAGCACAATGTGATGGCATTCTTGAATTAATGAATAGTCGAAAAACACGATTCGTATGCGAAAATAATTGTGAAAAAATATTTCAATCATTTGTGAACAAATAAGAAAAGTGAGGTTGTGTTTCAATGTTTTGCCTCCAGGGTCGGTCATCTGACAGATCTTGCACGTGTTGGCTTTGCCATGAATTGAAAAGACATCATCAAGTAATTATTGTGTCCTGTATATGAATACCATTGATGCAGAGAACCGAGAAATGCGTTGTAACAGCTGCCTCGGACTTTGCTGAATCATCTGAGAAGTATGAAATGTTTGATAATGAGATATGAATCATGTACAAGATTCCTGAAAAAAAGTAGCAGACCTAAGCCAGAAGCATCAGATCGAAACCATCATTCGAGTGTGATAGCTACTCTGATACGACTAAACTGTTTTAGTAATAATTCTTCAAGGAGTCTTGTGTTATCTAAAGTTAAGTGTTTAATATAATTGTTCATTGAATTATTTATATTAGTGGTCATTCTTGACAATTGCCTGAGTAAAAGGGGACATACAGAGTGTATTATCAAGGAATTTCCCCTTTCCCATTCAGAGTACGGACACTATGACAAGCACTGACGGTCAGACATAACCACAAATACATTGTGAAAAGCTTTTTCCAACTGTAAAAATACTGGAAATTTCGTGAAACATAGTCACTTTGTGAAACTCGGATGTTTATGTATAGCAACGATGGTTGAACAGTCAAATAATTATAACAATAAAATCAAGCTGTATGGGTTATCTTACCTCGATGAATTGGGTTCTGTTGGCGTAAGGCATGAAAAAGGTGGCCATGGATTTGTGAGAGGCCAAAAGCAAAAGGGCGTTCAGACACCTGATCCCGTGGACGGCCTGTATATCGTCAGGGGAACGTTTAAAACTAAAGCACGATATGAAGTTTTCCTTCACGGAAAATGCCATGATCCATTTACCTGAAAACATAATTTGATATATGGTCCTTTAATTAATTGAAATTCGACTGAATTATACTCACTTTTTTCTCCGACTGCGTAATAATCATACACGGTAGCGAAGAATTCCCATAGGAAGAAGAGTACAAAACCCGCCCTATAAAATAATGGCTTTATTAGGCTTCGAAAGATCGAGTTCAGCAAAGTTGATGTTTTCTCCTGAAGCCATTGCCTCTGAATTTGAAAGAGTTTTGAAGGTATGGAATTTCTCGACAGTAAAAGGAAAAAATCATTATTATTTGATTCTAAATGCTCACAAAGCTATACGGCTGGACAGCGGTAGTTGCCATTCTGTTTTCTTCTGACACATTGACGGGTCGACCTCGTAGCGCACGCGCAATTCCGTGCCTTCCACCATTTTGTTGACGTACGTTTCGAGACCGAGTTCGACATCTTCAGAGGTGCAAGATGCGGGCACGCACAGCGCCCAGTTTATGCTGGAGAAGCGAGGAACTCTGTGGCCTGGCTGGAAAATTGAATAGCGAAGGATCAACTTCTACATTTCAAATGGGAATGGAGTCGAGTTACCACTCATTTGAGAGGTTTTTCAATTCTCTATGCGACTGGATATATATTTTTTTAACTTAATTGATTTCTTCTTTGTTCAACACTATCAACTTTTTTATTTTAAATGACAATGGGCTCGAGTCACCACTCATTTCAAAGGGTTTTCGATTCTCTATACTGCTGTTACTTTCATTTTGATATATACAGGGTGATACAAATTCGTGGCTAGGCATGGGGATCTCGGTAACCTTAAGAGATATAGAGTAAGTATTTCCAGTTTCAAAGCATCATTTTGTTCAGCATGAAATGGTGCAAATTTGTCCTAATTTATCCTGCTATGTATCTCTTAAGGTTACCGAGATCCCAATGCTTAGCCACGAATTTGTAAGACCCTGTATTGTTTAAATTTCAAGATCATCTTATAGTCTTCTCAAATGTATACAAATATCTTACACTTACGTCTTCTAATTTACTCTTGAAATGGTGATGAGCGTGGACGAGTTGATAAAGTCCAGTCAAATAGTGATTCTGCGGGGTCTGAACTTCCATGGAGGCCAGACAATATTGCCCTTTGATGTCGTGCTCTATCGAATTGGCTGCCAAACACATGTCGAAATCTCCAAATTGGTTGACGTTACCATTCAGTAATCCTGATGGCAATTTGGCGGTGGAATCATACACTGGGCAGTAAAAAAACTGATAAAGGGATTGTTCAAACGTAGAAATACTTACAAAAGGGGTCGATACGATAGACTCACTTTGTAGGGCCCAATATTGGAAGGCGTTGAGGTCCTGCACGTATTTTTGGCTTTGTTTCCGGCATTTCTGGTTCACTCCGTCGACTTTGCTCAAGTCGAAAGGTGGTAAAGACGAAAATAGGATGGTGGACAATCTATCTGTGGTAGATTGGTACCCATCACCTAAAATTCACAATGAAAATGTCAGATGTAATCCTAGGGTGCTTGGGTCGTTACTCGTGACTTTGTTTTCAAGGAGTTTTGTTAGAAACGAGTACCTAGTTTTAGAAGGTTGTTGTATATCATCTTCAAAACAATTATAAAAATTGCCTTGAAAGAACTGTGTTTCAATTACCGTATATGATGCTGCCTGAAATTATTGAGGTCAACATTATATTTCGAATGATCTATAGAGATCATTGTCAAGGTCGGTACCGGTTATGTAACCGTAAGCGTAATAATTATAAATATTTTTTTTGGGAAAGTGAAAGTTTCTCGAGGAATAGCATCTAGTTGCATCTATTACCAACTGGTTGACTGCAGAGCAATTATAAAATGACCACCTATGGATAACTTGATTCAAATTACTTCAATAATTATTATAATAATTATTATGAGGATCCATGATGATTATACCTACGTACAAACATCTTCAGAAATCATGTCGCGGTTGAACGGTGTAAGCGCTCTTATTGCAGCAGAGATTTAGAGAGCACACACCGTCCATGTGCGACATGTTCACTGAAGACGAGTATACACTATACATACATAAAAAGCAATATCGAAAAGGGACCAAATGTAATCTCATACCGAACGTTTTTAGAATCATTGCTCTGAAGAGCTACGTTAAATCTTCTTTTGGTCGACGACTTATACAAAAATGAAATAAGAATTGCATGATTACCACATGAAAATAACTCTATGTCGACTGTATTTCATGATGATTACTCTTCATTTTACGATATTTGCATTATTTATATCGTGAGATCGTAGTTAGTAAAGCCCCGGAGAAACTGAATTGGTCATGCAAAAAATGTACTTGGCTCCGTCTTCTGAATTATTTGGCCTCATTATGAGAAACCTGAATGGAATTTTCAGCGACATTGACGTAATGACTTTTGGAGACCCCCACACACATTTTTCATTCGATATTTTCATTGTTGATTGTACCTAAATCGAGGTATTCGATGTTCTTTGACCATTCTAATAATAATCCTACAATTATTTACGCTAATTATATGATGCTGTCAATATAAAAGTTAATGAACTTTTCACCGTACAACGTACAACAATCCTTGACATGTTCAGATTTACGAAATTCTACCGACATTAACTCAATTTATATGTATATATGATGAAATGACAAGACTACTTTTATCGAATTCGTTTTTATAGCCACTATTTTATGTCACTTACAAGTTGAGGATATTTATTTTTTACTGTAAGGCATCTAAGTGAGTATATAATTTATTCTAGGTCGGTGAATGCTGTTAATCGGGAAAGTTCGCTATTTGGAGGATTCTATAGACTACAGAATACAATTCAGAACGATAATGTTTTGATTATCATGGGGGTCAACAAATAAGAATGGCCATCAATTTAAGCAGGTAATGAATAAAGCAAACTTCCTTCATACATAGAATGAATGTGACAGAATAAAATATAACAATAATTTTCGTTTATTTATCTTTTCAATTTTCTATGTGCCAATAAATGTATGTGCACATAATAGATATCAGCAGATGAATAATACTGTTTTGCCTCCGATTATTTCATCATGTATGTATAAAAAATATAATTTTTCAATGTTTAATGTGCCAAGGTGAGAATCATAACGTGGTCCATTTGGCCAATGCTCCGATATAATAATTTATTGATTATTCCATCATTATGAGATAGGCAACCTATAAGTTCATTCACTTCACTATTGTGTCAAGGTAGTAGACAGGTGAACACAAAATGTTCCAAATTCAATCGTCGACATTCGATATTATCATGCATTTATGCTAATCTCAAAACTAGATTCTTATGATTGCTCACACAATTTTCATATCCAATATTTTTTCTATTTTAATTAGAAATCAATTACCTATATCGTTTTCAAGGATTAGCTGAGTATCAGTTGAGTACAGGCATAGTATATCGAGCTTATGAAAATATAATTTCACATATAAATCATCAGAGATTAACTGTGATGCATTGAACAAGGCACACAGCACGGATATAATGACTAGTATAAAAAATACGTGATGTATGCGATTTTAATTGAAAAGTGAATGCCAAGGCAGAAAAATCCCTGACACGCACCTAAAACGACAACATATTATTTATTGAAATTTAATGCATACAAAAAAAATTATCATTCCAGCAGTGTCTCATTTTTTCTATCTGGGAAAAATTGATACTGTGACTAGAAGATCCAGACGTGTTTTATTGCAACCTTAACATTAGAATCGATTGTGTTCCTTTGGCTTTAGAAGGTTGTCCATTTCGATTCAATACAGATCGTGCGAAATTGTGCGTTTTAAAAAAGTTCACAACGTGTTTACACAGCATATAAACTGCATCATTATAATTACTGAGACGTGATAATTATTATAATATAATCTTGCAGAGCAAATCTTATCGTGTTCATAGGAAATTGCCCAAAAGTTCGGTTGCGCATTTCTTGAATTGCTTCAATGCCTGATAGACATACGAAATAAATTGTTACAAACGTCAAAACTAACATAATAGCTGATAGTGAATTACGTCCTTATATGTCTCTTATTCCCAACTAACCTTGAAGGAGAGTGGATAACATTGATTCTGATATGCTATGTAGAAGGACCCGTGAGCAAAAAAATTGTTGTGCTAAGGTACGAAATTTTAGAAGAAGTTGAACCTTATGACCTAATTTGGAAGATTAACAGTTTTATAATATGCTAAGTGATCACTCGGCGATCTGTATGTTGTATTGGCTGTATCTGAAGGTCCGATGGTTTTCTCTTCAAATTCACAAGGTCGTCTGTCACCATTCTTCGATAATGATTGTCAAGATGCATCGCTTTTTCTTCAAGCCTTCTCCAAGGCAAGAAACCATCACGATTTGCCCACGGGGCAATACACTATACAAATGTGGAATTTTCAAAGTTCTCAAAGCTGTGATTGTGGGTAAAAATATCCATTTCATTACATCTACTTTATATACTCTCCTGGAAATCTTATTAAATTCATGTTTCTTGCTAAATTCAAGAATTCTCATGAGTCGATCAAAGTAACCACAAATTTTTATTCGTTAAAACCTCGAGATTAACATTATTCATGAAAATAATAAATAACTGTAATTCTTTATCATAAATTATATTTATTTCGAAAGAACCTCATAGGTACTTGATATTTCATCAGGATCGGTTAATTGCTCATTTTTTAAATTTGACCAGCGAGGTTAAATTAATAACATTATCTTCTATATTATTATTATTGACATTTGGCCTATTTGGTCTTGGTTCGAAATATCATCAAAGAGTTTTAAAACAATATAGTATGTTGCGGTTTCGAACAGCATGATGCACACACCTTATAATATTAAATGTAAGTATCATTTGGTATTTTCTATTTCGACAGAAGATAAAAAACAATTTGACCAGAAAATAGTTGTTTGTGGCACGAGCCTGAAGGGCGAGTGATGCAAACGCACGAGTGAGAAGAGTGCTTTTATCCACATGTTGCATACTATACTTTTCCTACAACTGCACTTATTCAAAGAATCCGAGTAATTGGTATTCATTTTATAATGTGGTACTATGCCACATTGCATATTGTGACCAAAGAGTAGACGCCTTTCCTAGTTCCTCAAAGTATTTAAAAAAAAAGTACACTTTCCGAAAAAGATTTTATCTCTGTATCTTTTTAGATTCCATAAATTTTTCGTGCCAATTCATACTTTTTCTTAAAATTTCCGGAAACAAATCCAACTTCCGCAGCTTTTTCCATTATCTCTGTCTCTGGCGGTGTATTTATCAAAATCGTCACATTTCGGTATATACATCATATTATTTATTATGAATTTTTGGAATAATATCTGATGGAAAATGCGATTTCTATCGAAAGCACTAATGAGAACTACTCTAAAGAATTTAAAAAACTCCTTCTGACAGTTGTGACAACTATTCAAAGCTGAACAGCAGCCAAGTTTTGGTCGATTTTTGTTGATTCTCCATGAAAATGTATGTGGTGTTGGCAAAGTGCCGTGAGATAAAATATTTCTCACAGTATGGGCAATACATGGTTTTGAAATTGAAACTAAGTAAGCTATGAGAAATGCGCTACTTTTCATAGCAGTAGTAGAAAAAAACATTTTCTTCACACCGTTATAATATAGTCTCTAGGATGCTGGTATAGATTATTCAATATCGCTCTGTATAAATTGTGAAGGCGAAGCCCTTCTTTTTATTATGGGTATCTAACGGTTACATGCATTTTCTTTTCCTATCTATATCTGTTATACAATAGAACAAGGTTTTCTATCTAACGAGGAAACGTTCTACTAGACGTGGTGACATTGAATTTACTTTTATTTATTCTATAAGTACTAGCGTTGACTATAGATTTGATTTCGAATGTCTACGACTGATGCGTAATAATCGATATCCAATCAATCGACAACAATGAAGATGTGTTTATTTCTGTTTGATTTGAAGGAATTCATTTAATATTCCTCAATAGTGCAATGTTCTTTCTACACAATTAATGCTTTTCATTATTTCAATCAAATACCTGATATATTTCGTTTTTGTTTAGATAAATTATGAATCCTATCTGTTACAATCCGAAAAGTTACCTTGTAGTTGTAGTTATAGTATTCAATTGTCCATCAAACAAAGGACCACGTATGAAAAGACTTCAATTAGCGAGAGAGTGATATGAAGCTTCCTAAAATTTACGTAAGATTTATTTCCAAACCCGAGAAACGGAAACGCCAAGAGTGCCAAGGCTGGAAATTTACGAACCTCAAAAATTCATTGTTTAGAGACATATTATAATATCCTCGTTGATTCTGTGACTAGTTTATTTGATCACCTAATATACAATCAATTGAGAACAAACACAGGTTTTACCTCTTATAATGTGACCCCTAATCACTAATAGTATACGTTGATTTCATATTCAAATACAGGGTGTCCGGAAAGGTCATGCCGTAAATGATAATTGCTGATAGAGTGAGCCAAAATAATGTTAGTACCTACTTCATATAAAAAAAATGTCGCGCTTCTTACGGAGTTATTAACCTTGAAAGTTAGAATAAAAAATAATTCCATGTATAACTAACAACTCCTTATTATGTAAATGGCTTTTCAGTGAAATAATAAATGGAGTTTTATCACCTTTGAAACGATAGGGATCTTCAAATGCAATTTTCTCTAGATCGGTTCAAGAATCGATTGAAATGAAGTGTAACATTTTCGTAGAAAAAATTTAAGGGGATCAAACGATGATAGCAAAATGTCAAATTTGTCATCTCTGTCAAAAATGCTTTGAATAAACGGAAATACTTCGTCCCATCCAACATAATCACTGAAAACTGTTTACGTAAGGAAAGGTGCATAAGTATGAATTAATTTATTACCAGCCCGAATATCATTGATACCATGGCAACCGTTTGAAAGTTATACAACTTTCAAGGTCAATAACTCCGTAATGAAGTGTGATAGAATTTTTTTTATATGAAGTACTAACATTATTTTGGCTCACTCTATCAGACCTTTCATTTACGACATGACCTTTCCAGACACCCTGTATATAGGGTGCGGTGCTACCTGAACTGTTTTATATTCAATTCTAATTTTATCTATCAAATATGAACCTACATGGTTTATTTAACCTTCTGAAAAACACTTAATTGCATGCACAACTTTTCTAAATGAAAGCTAATATGAAAATATTTCAACTTTAGTTTTTCACGTATTATTATTTTTTTCACTTTTGGAGGTTTTAAGTGCTTGGGAATACTTCCTCAAACAAATAATTCCAAAGCTTTAGCCTTCTATAGACAAACGAATTTTCGAAGATAGTTGTTTTAATTCAGATAGTTTAAATTTTTTTGAATCATAAATTAGTGTTTATCGCTTGTGGTAACGATTATATATTTGGCAACATTTTAGAAAATTATTAACAGGTGTTGAAAGGTCAAGTTGCACATCAATAATTTTCCATTTAAATTTATTTGATATACAATTTTCAAGTTCGCACTTCTGGTGTCCCTTGTTAAATGATCATTTCGAAATTTGCTCGTGCAGAGGTCACATAATTTTCGATGAATCAATAGGTATATCCTTTTAGATTCATGATCGCATCAGAGAAAATATATTCAAAGGCCTTAGATGAACTTCCTTCATTTTCGACTTTTTGAGTACCTACAGCGAGTGCAATGACTTCGCCCAAATAACTGCAAACAAGCAGGACTTTTTCAATTGAATATATTAATTTATTGAATTAATAAATAATGAGAGTGTTTATTTTTTCATCAAAAGGGACAGTTCAAGGGTTATTGCCGCCCTTGTGCAATAGTAATTTACCTAACAAGTGCTAAAATGCGTCGTTCGGCCATTTGCAATCGCGTGCGGAAAACTATCACTTTTCTCCCATTTGTTAGGAAAACTGCTATTTTGGCACCCCCACCCTTGAATTATTCGAAAAACTGCATATCAATCTGTATATTTTTATATTTATCTGAGTGTTTCTCTATACAGGGTGGGCCAATGGAAACTTTCCACCATAATTTGTAGGATTTAAAATCAAGGAAAACTCTCGAGCACGTTGATTTTTGATTTGAGAGGAAACTCATTTTCAGATTTTTTTAACCTCCGTAGCGTTAACCCGGCAGCTGGAGGTTTCCCTTAAGCACATTTTCAGGGTTGTTCACCCCTTAGCTACAGGGTGAAATCTATGGCGTGAAAAAAGCTGATAATTACTTATCCCTCAAATGCAAAATTGACGTGTTCGGGATTTTTTTCAAATTTTGATTTGAATTATCAAAAATTAGGACGGAAAGTTTCCATTGGCCAAACCGTTATTTATATGTTTAAACTCAGTATAAGCAGCTCTGCAAATTGTAGTATTTCTAGTATAAAACTCACCCTTTTCTCTACATTCCGTTAGGTTTTTGAGACATGCCCTTCCACGATAGTCCTTTCCTCTCACATTGACTCCCACATTATTCTGTTGCAGATTTGCCAAAGGCAACGAACTCACGTTGGATTTGTTGCTGACTAGACCGTTTTTCAAAACGTTTTCCGCTACCCCGGACTTCCATTCTAGATTGCATTGAATGTTGGTGAAAACGAAGAGGAAAAACAACAGAAAAATCGAAAAGAGGCACTTCATATTTTGGTTTGAAGGGTTGCCTTCCGAACGCACCGGGCAAAAATTCTGCGTTTTCGATAAATAAATCACATGTTAAATGTAAAATAAGTTTTATTTCACGTTGGAAACAGTGGTGATGAATGAATGAATTTGCAGACACAGCTTTTCGCGGGTACCTTAGAATCAAGGAGTGGGATTGATAGTGAATGCTTTTGCATTTACGAATCGACTTGATACATTTGGATTTACCTTGCATTCCCCACCAAATTCGCTATGGTACAGGTGGAAATCAATTGATAATTATGCGATTTAAGGACATCCAATGACGAAGTAGGTACTCTAATGATTGTTAGGAATAACAATAAACTTTAATGCACCTTTGAATCGAAGAGCATTCCGCCTTATTTGTGGATGACTTGGCGCCATCAGGATTGATCTTTCTTCGCATCTAATAAATTTCGGTTTTTTTTTACAAAACTATTGATCAATCTGTCAAACTTATCATCGAAAATATCTCCGGTATCTGAACAATGTATCGGTTCTATTTGGATTATATGAACTAATTAGGCGGTTTTTCTATCCAGAAAACAGAATTGAGCTTTACGCCGATATTAAATTTTTTCTGATTTTGACATTGAGAACGTTCTCATTATGATTCTGCGACATAGTTAGGTTGATTCAGCTCAGGAAAATGCAACTGACAAATAATTTCACTTACATGTATTCTTAGAATTTCAATAGGTAATCAACATAATTTGTTTGAAATTAGCGACATTCCTCATTGAACAATGGTTGAATTGAATTAAAGCTTACAAAGCAATGCAATGTTCTATTATATTATATTTACCATTTAGGCCATTTAGGGAATCTCTCCACCCCCATTCACTTTTGCTATCCTGATGCCAAAATTTAGATTTTTTCAGCCGAAATATATCCTTGATTTTCTCACAAAAAATAAGTTGACCTAAGAGAAATAAAATGCCTTTATACATCAATTTGATAACATATCTTAGGAGGGAAGAAATTAGGATACCTACATTCAGATTTTGCCATGAAATCGAAATTTTCGCAAGTGAATTCCGGTTCTAAATAATGAAATCAAATACCTGCTGCACTCTTCTGCTCTCCTGATACCTACATTCAGATTTTGCCTTAGAAATCGAAATTTTCGTGATCGGAAGCAAATTTTTCCCAAATTGATGAAGTTGAATACCTCCTATACACTTCTGCTCTCCTGATACCAACATTCAGATTTTGCCTTAGAAATCGAAATTTTCGTGATCGGAAGCAAATTTTTCCCAAATTGATGAAGTTGAATACCTCCTATACACTTCTGCTCTCCTGATACCAACATTCAGATTTTGCCTTAGAAATCGAAATTTTCGTGATCGGAAGCAAATTTTATCCAATTAGTAATGAAGTTGAATACCTCCTATACACTTCTGCTCTCCTGATACCAACATTCAGATTTTGCCTTAGAAATCGAAATTTTCGTCATCGGAAGCAAATAATTTTTCAATTATTAATGAAGTTGAATACCTCCTATATACACTTCTGCTCTCCTGATACCTACATTCAGATGTTGCCTTAGAAATCGAAATTTTCGTGATCGGAAGCAAATTTTTCCCAATTATTGATGAAGTTGAATCCCTCCTATACACTTCTGCTCTCCTGATACCAACATTCAGATTTTGCCTTAGAAATCGAAATTTTCGTGATCGGAAGCAAATTTTTCCAATTATTAATGAAGTTGAATACCTCCTATATACTTCTGCTCTCCTGATACCAACATTCAGATTTTGCCTTAGAAATCGAAATTTTCGTGATCGGAAGCAAATTTTTCCAATTATTAATGAAGTTGAATACCTCCTATATACTTCTGCTCTCCTGATACCTACATTCAGATGTTGCCTTGGAAATCGAAATTTTCGTGATCGGAAGCAAATTTTTCCAATTATTAATGAAGTTGAATACCTCCTATATACTTCTGCTCTCCTGATACCTACATTCAGATGTTGCCTTGGAAATCGAAATTTTCGTGATCGGAAGCAAATTTTTCCAATTATTAATGAAGTTGAATACCTCCTATATACTTCTGCTCTCCTGATACCTACATTCAGATGTTGCCTTGGAAATCGAAATTTTCGTGATCGGAAGCAAATTTTTTCCAATTATTGATGAAGTTGAATACCTCCTATATACTTCTGCTCTCCTGATACCAACATTCAGATTTTGCCTTAGAAATCGAAATTTTCGTGATCGGAAGCAAATTTTTCCCAATTATAATGAAGTTGAATACCTCCTATACCGGGTGACACAGGATACATGTAGCAGCCTGTAGTTTTTTTTTGAAGATATTAAATTTTGAAATTCACAGGGGGTATATAATAAATGATAGCGCACTTAACGAACTTAACGACAATTTTTTTCGATAACCTAACCTGACCCGAAGTGACCCCAACTTTTTTTTTTAAATGTCACCCTGTACATTTCTTCAGTCTATCTTTTTCGTCTTAAAATTCTCTATCCAACCATGTATCACAAAGTGGCATTTATTTCTTGATTCGCTCTTGAATTGCTTTTTATTCAAAAAGAATAAGTTGGCTGTGACATGAATTCCATGATATATCAACACTTATGGTAGGCTTTGAAATTTAAATATCATTAGTAAACCGATATTATTCAAAATGTTTTGATATTCTGATCAATGTCTGCAGATTGTCAATAGCTTGTTTGAGTCAAGTATCAATAGAGACGGAAAATGTATTCAAGAAACGAAAAAGTCGATATGTTACTAGATCTGGTAACCTAATCAAAGATATGTTACTAGATCTAGTAACCTAACCTAAGATATGTTACCAGATCTAGTAACCCAACCTAAGATATGTTACCAGATCTAGTAACCCAACCTAAGATATGTTACCAGATCTAGTAACCCAACCTGAGATATGTTACCAGATCTAGTAACCCAACCTAAGATATGTTACCAGATCTAGTAACCCAACCTAAGATATGTTACCAGATCTAGTAACCTAACCTAAGATATGTTACCAGATCTAGTAACCCAACCTAAGATATGTTACCAGATCTAGTAACCCAACCTAAGATATGTTACCAGATCTAGTAACCCAACCTGAGATATGTTACCAGATCTAGTAACCTAACCTGAGATATGTTACCAGATCTAGTAACCCAACCTAAATGTATTCAAGAAACGAAAAAGTCGATATGTTAATATGCAATTTCAATCAACACACAAATGAAGAAGAAAAATTATTGATGCAATCGATTAACTGTCAAACCAATGAAGTTGAATACCTCCTATACACTTCTGCTCTCCTGATACCAACATTCAGATTTTGCCTTAGAAATCGAAATTTTCGTGATCGGAAGCAAATTTTTTCCAATTATTGATGAAGTTGAATACCTCCTATATACTTCTGCTCTCCTGGTACCTACATTAAGATTTTGCCTTAGAAATCGAAATTTTTCGTGATCGGAAGCAAATTTTATTCAATTATTAATGAAGTTGAATACCTCCTATATACTTCTGCTCTCCTGATACCTACATTCAGATTTTGCCTTAGAAATCGAAATTTTCGTGATCGGAAGCAAATTTTTTCCAATTAATAATGAAGTTGAATACCTCCTATATACTTCTGCTCTCCTGATACCTATATTCAGATTTTGCCTTAGAAATCGAAATTTTCGTGATCGAAAGCAAATTTTTTCCAATTATTGATGAAGTTGAATACCTCCTATACACTTCTGCTCTCCTGATACCAACATTCAGATTTTGCCTTAGAAATCGAAATTTTCGTGATCGGAAGCAAATTTTATCCAATTATTAATGAAGTTGAATACCTCCTATACACTTCTGCTCTCCTCTGATACCAACATTCAGATTTTGCCTTAGAAATCGAAATTTTCGTGATCGGAAGCAAATTTTTCCAATTATTAATGAAGTTGAATACCTCCTATACACTTCTGCTCTCCTGATACCTACATTCAGATGTTGTCTTAGAAATCGAAATTTTCGTGATCGGAAGCAAATTTTTCCCAATTATTGATGAAGTTGATTACCTCCTATACACTTCTGCTCTCCTGATACCAACATTCAGATTTTGCCTCAGAAATCGAAATTTTCGTGATCGGAAGCAAATTTTTCCAATTATTAATGAAGTTGAATACCTCCTATACACTTCTGCTCTCCTGATACCAACATTCAGATTTTGCCTTAGAAATCGAAATTTTCGTGATCGGAAGCAAATTTTATCCAATTATTAATGAAGTTGAATACCTCCTATACACTTCTGCTCTCCTGATACCTACATTCAGATGTTGCCTTAGAAATCGAAATTTTCTTGATCGGAAGCAAATTTTTTCCAATTATTAATGAAGTTGAATACCTCCTATATACTTCTGCTCTCCTGATACCTACATTCAGATTTTGCCTTAGAAATCGAAATTTTCGTGATCGGAAGCAAATTTTTTCCAATTAATAATGAAGTTGAATACCTCCTATACACTTCTGCTCTCCTGATACCTACATTCAGATGTTGTCTTAGAAATCGAAATTTTCGTGATCGGAAGCAAATTTTTCCCAATTAATGATGAAGTTGATTACCTCCTATACACTTCTGCTCTCCTGATACCAACATTCAGATTTTGCCTCAGAAATCGAAATTTTCGTGATCGGAAGCAAATTTTTCCAATTATTAATGAAGTTGAATACCTCCTATACACTTCTGCTCTCCTGATACCAACATTCAGATTTTGCCTTAGAAATCGAAATTTTCGTGATCGGAAGCAAATTTTATCCAATTATTAATGAAGTTGAATACCTCCTATACACTTCTGCTCTCCTGATACCTACATTCAGATGTTGCCTTAGAAATCGAATTTTCTTGATCGGAAGCAAATTTTATCCAATTATTAATGAAGTTGAATACCTCCTAATACTTCTGCTCTCTGATACCTACATTCAGATTTTGCCTTAGAAATCGAAATTTCGTGATCGGAAGCAAATTTTTTCCAATTAATAATGAAGTTGAATACCTCCTATATACTTCTGCTCTCCTGATACCTATATTCAGATTTTGCCTTAGAAATCGAAATTTTCGTGATCGGAAGCAAATTTTTCCCAATTGATGAAGTTGAATACCTCCTATACACATCTGCTCTCCTGATACCAACATTCAGATTTTGCCTTAGAAATCG